ATATGCTCCCCCACGGTCATTGCAGCATTTACAATAGCCAATACATTGAAGCAACATAAGTGTTGGGTGAATTAATAAAAATGGGGGCACCTGGGCGGCTCAGTAGTTAAGTGTCTGCCTTTGGCTCATGTCAATAAAGGTATTACCATAATTATTTCTCAATATACATGTGTATCAGATTATCACATTGTACCCCTCAAACTTACACAACGTTATAGGTCAATCCTATCTCAGTAAAGCTGGAAAAAATAAGATACAAAATACTCTGGCAAAAAAATAACGTTCATTGAATGAGTGAAGGAGAGCAGACTCTCAAGAGCAGGGTCCTGGGACGGAGACCTGCGTGGGCTCCCTGCTCAGCGGGGAGGCTGCTTCTCCCTCTCCCTCTGACACTCCCCCTGCTTGTGCATACTCTCTCTAATAAATAAAATAGAAATCTTAAAAAAAAGTGATGTATATATATGTGTATTATAGAATGGAATATTTAGCCACAAAAAAGAAGGAAATCTTGTCATTTCAGACAACATGAGTAGACCTTGAGGGCATTAGGTTAAGTGAAATAAGTCAGACAGAGAAAGGCAAATACATCTCACTTACTATGTGTAATCTAAAAAAACAAGAAAAACCCTAAACTCAGAGAGAGCAGAAGAGTGGTGGCCAGAGCTGGGACTGGGGGAAAGTTAGGTGGGGGGAATGTAATGTGAGAAGGTAGTCAAAAAGGTACAAATTTCCAATTATAAAACCAATTCTGGGGATACAATGCACAACATGGTGACTATATTAATACTGTATTGCATATTTGAAAGTTAAGAGTAGGTCCTAGGGGCGCCTGGGTGGCTCAGTTGGTTAAGCGACTGCCTTCGGCTCAGGTCATGATCCTGGAGTCCCAGGATCGAGTCCCGCATCGGGCTCCCCGCTCGGCGGGGAGTCTGCCTCTCCCTCTGACCTTCTTCCCTCTCGTACTCTCATTCTCTTTCTCTCAAATAAATAAATAAAATCTTTAAAAAAAAAAAAAAAAGAGTAGGTCCTAAAATTTCTTATCACAAGGAAAAAATTTTGTAAGTATTTGTGATGATGGATGTTAACTAGGCTTATTGTGATGATCATTTCACAATATTTACAAATATTGAATCATTAAATTATATACCTGAAACTAACATGTTATATGTCAGTTATATCTGAATTTAAAAAAAATGGGCAAAGGGCCTGAATATTTTTCTAAAGGTTTACAAATGGCCAACAGGTACATAAAAAGGTACTCAACATCACTAATTATCAGGTAAGTACAAATCAAAACCACAATGAGATATCACCTCACATTGTTAGAATGGCTGTTATCAAAAACAAAAGAGATAAGTATTGGCCGAAGTGTGGAGAAAAGGGAACCCTTGTGCACGCACTGTTGGTGGGAATGTAAGTTGGTGAAGCCACCATGGAAAACAGCATGGAGGTTCCTCAAAATATTAAATAGAACTACCACGTGATCCAGCAATCTCGCTCCCGGGCATAAGGAAATGAAATCACATCTCAAAGAGATATTTGGGGGATGACGAGGTGGTTCCGTTAAGCGTCTGCCTTTGGCTCAGATCATGATCCCAGGGTCCTGGGATTGAGTCCTACATCAGGCTCCCTGCTCAGCAGGGAGCCTGCTTCTCCCTCTGCCTGCCGTTCCCCCTGCTTGTGTTTTCTCTTGCGTGCGCTCTCTCGCTCGCTCACACTCTCTCTCTGACAAATTAAAGAGAGATTTGCACCTCCATGTTCATTGCAGCATTATTTATAATAGTCAAGACATGGAAACAACCTAAGTGTCCACAAGTGGATGCATTGAAAAAGAAAATGTGACACACACACACACACAGCAATATTAATTGGCCACAATAAAGAAGGAAGTCCTGACATTTGCAATAATACAGATGGACCTTGAGGACATGCAAAGTGAAGTCAGAGGACAAATAGCAGATGATCTCACTTATATGTGGGATCTAAAATAACTGAATTCATAGAAAGCGTAGAGTGGTGGTTGCCAGGGGTGAGGGGTAGAGGAATGATGGACAACGGGTAACAACTTCCAGCTAGGAGATGAATAAAGTCTGGGGATCTAATGTCCAGCATGGTGACTATAGTCAATACTATATTGTATATTTGAAAGTTGCTAGGAGTTGATTTTAAATGTTCTCACTACAAAAACAAAACAAAACAAAAAGACCCCAAAACACCCAAATAGAAAAATACAAATGGTAACTATGTGAGGTGATAAACGTATCACAATTATTTCTCAATACACATGTGTATCAGATTATCACAAACTTACACAACGTTATAGGTCAATCCTATCTCAGTAAAGCTGGAAAAAATAAGATACAAAATACTCTGGCAAAAAAATAATGTTCATTGAATGAGTGAAGGAGAGCAGACTCTCAAGAGCAGAGTCTAGTCCTGTTCCAGACCAGCTGCAGGGTTGGCTTGGCCAAATGATGAAGGAAATGGCCATTTGATCAATGCTAGGAGGCAGAGGCTGGCCCCAAACAGGTGGAAGAAAGTTCCCAGGAGGATGGGCTCTGCTTTGCTGCTCTGAAGACTGGGCCAGATCCCAGAGCCTACCTGATAAGCCTCTACCCCAGGGGACACTCAGGGATACCCCTTGTCTTGGTGTAGGGCAGCCTTCCAGTTCAGAGATGGCCCACTGGCAGAGGAAAAACCCTAAGGCCCATCTACCCTGGACTGAAAATCCCAGAGTACAGGTTTTTGTTTTTGTTTGTTTTTTTAATTTGACAGAACGCGCACAAGCAGAGGGAGAGGGAGAAGCAGGCTCCCCTGCTGAGCAGAGAGCCAGATGCAGGGCTCCATCCCAGGACCCCCGGATCATGAGATTTTAACCGACTGAGCCACCAAGGCGCCCCCTGGAATACAGGTATTAACACGATTTCATAAAGGAAGAAAATGCAATGTAAGAGTCCACTAACTTGCTCAAGGCCCCGCAACTAAAAGCCACTGGAATGGGAACTCCCCTTGTCATTCTTAGTCTCTACACTATGCCGCCTCCCTAACTTAATGGTCCTAAGTCTTCATTTCCTTTTCCATAAGAGCAGAACCATCAATGGTTCCTAGCTCACAATACCTGGGGAAATTAAGTGGTAGAACGAACATGAGAGTCTGGCACGCAGTAGGCATGCAGGAAATAATGGGTGTTTGGCAAATGTTGGTTCTCCTTCCCTAGTTCCAGATCCCCCTTCAGGCATTCAGCTCTCACCCGGCGAGGGCTTGCATTACAGAACCAACTGAGGGATGATGGAGGGAGGTGGGCGGGGGAGGGGCTAGGTGGGTGATGGGGATGAAGGCGGGCACTTGCTGGGAGGAGCACTGGGTGTTATATGTAAGTGATGAATCACTAAATTCTACACCTGAAACTGATTTTACCATATACGTTAACTAGAATTTAAATAAAAACTTTAAAAAAAAAAATAAAGGACTTTCAGTGTTATCACTGAATCCTAGAGTAAACCACTCAGACCAATGCGGGGGGGGGGGGGGGAGGGAAATCACACGTGACCTTGAAAAGTTCCTCCACTCTGGGCCTGTTCGGGTCAGTGGCAGGATGTTGCCCTTGATGTTTGCCTGTAAGAGTTAGGAGATTAAGGAATAGGAGGAAGTATGGAGGCAGCCCAGCACCTGCCTTGTGACAGGTGCGCAGGTAACTGCAGCATCCCCTTACCCCAGTGGCCATGGCCAGAGGGGCAGGAATTCTACTTTGATTTCATTAGAATAAGGGAATTAGGAGGATTACTTTACACAGCTAAAGATCAAAGACTGTTGAAAGAACTCGGGCTGGTTAGTCCAGAGAACACAGGGTTTATACAAACCCAGCTAACTGAATGCCGGTACCTATTTAAAACCAGGGCTTCCTGGGGATCAAGAGAGGCCCAACCCATTTTCATCTGATAAGGTTTCTGGTATATTAAGGGAAAAAATTGTTGAGGTTTCTGCTATATTATTGGGAAAGTTTTTAAAGGAAAAATATTTAGTATTAAAAAATACTAAATCGGGGTTATAAATATTATGGCATACCTTCAGTGTTAGATTTAACAAATGTTACCACACAAAACTAAAGCTAATATAATTGCGCTAATCCTAGGACAACTACTAGATTTGTGTATTTCTTGAAAATCTTAATTCGTGGTGCGCTGCATGCGGGCTTTGTCGACAGGTAACGGGGACACAGACTTTTTTCAACCCTGTCGGGGCACCTACCCGGAGAAAAGGTCAACTTTTTGAGCTTGAGGGCGCATCTGCATGGGATCGATCTCTCGCTCCGTCTCTGTCTCTTTCTCCCCCTCACGCGACAGGCGCGTTGGAATGGGGGCCAGACATTCCACAAGCCGCGGAGTCAGAATGGAGCCCTGGAGTGGACGCTTGGAGAAAGCGGGTTTCTCCTGGGCGGCCTTCCCCCAGCACATCCCCCGAGCACGTAGCCCCACCCTGAAATGTTTGGGCAGGGTGGGAAGTAGCTCCTTGGTTGGCACGTGGGCAGGACATTTATGTGGCTGGAGCAACCATTTTAAACTTTTGTGGATTCTGATGAAAATCCGGAGAAAACCTAGGACCTTCTCCCCAGAATTCTCTCTCTCCCACGCACGCATGTACGATTTTCCCGCCATGGAGTCGGGAGAAGTCCACACCCAGGGTGAAAGCCCCGGCGGGCGTGTATTCCGTCCCAGGCCCCGCCTGGCCCCGGGGAGCCCAGCTCCCCGCAGGCCCTGGCACCCAGCCGCTCGGCCAGAGCTGGGCGGGGCTGGGGGCGGCGTGGCCAGCTCCCCCCCCAAGCCCCACCCCCAGCCCACCGCAGCCACCGCCCGGGCCACCGCCCCGGGGCTCCGAGACTAGGCCCGCGCTGCTGCTGAGCTGCTGAGCAATTGCTCCGGGAGCCCGGACTCGCGGACCGACGCGCCGCCGCCGCGGCGGCTCGGCTTGCCAAGCGCTGTTCCCGGGCCGCCGCCGGAGCCATGAAGATGCACTTCTGTATCCCGGTATCCCAGCAGCAGCTGGACCCGCTGGGGGGCCGCTACGTGGTGCGCCGGGGGCCAGGGCCGACTGGGCTGGGGAAGGTTGGCGACCTGGCGGGGCTGGGGCTGACCTGCTCGCTCAGCTAATCCGGGACGGTCTGTCTCTGTGTTGCAGCTGTACTCCGTGTACCTGGACGGCTACCTCTTCTGCAGGGTGCGCTACAGCCGACTGCATCGTTGGAACGAACAGGTGAGCAGGTTCGAGGCAGGTGATTTTGCGCCCCAAGACCCCGGACTTTTTGAGGATTCCCAAGCTCCTAATCGGCAATTTGGTATTGCTTGGCATACCGCTCCTTGTATATAGGTTGCCGCGCCTAACCATCTACAGCTGGGAGATGAGGGGATAGGCTCAGGTCATTCTCCCAACCCCTTTCCAGCCCAATGATCCCCAGCAGCCCCATCTGGCAGGGTGCTCCCTTTCAGTTTCAGCTGTCCCCCGGGACAGCGCCCCCATTCAAAATGAGCATACTCAGTCTAGACCAAGGTGCCTTAGGAATCTTGTACGTGGGTGTTTAATCTCCCAGAGTTTCTTAGGCTGACTTCTTTGAAAAAGGTGTGTTTATTTTTGTTTTCAAATTCGTGTATTTATAGGCTTCAAGTACTGGCAGGCTGGAAACCCAGGAAGCAGATGACTTATCAGGACAGGAGGCCATTTCCCACTATAGTTTCTCACTCTGAAGTCCTGGTGGCATTTTCTTTGGGAGGCAGCCTGATTTATTAACCTGCTCTAATGGGTTTTATTGTCCTAATAAGGAAGTGTTGCAGGTCTTCAAAATGGGTTGGAGGAGTAAAAGAAAGTTTGGAAATAAACTTCACCCTCCCTCTACCTCCACGCATAATGTCTTCTTTTTAATTAATTTTTTTTAGATTATATACCTTGATTTTAAAGAGAATATACCTAAAATTAGAAAGAAAGGGGAGCCTGGTTGGCTCAGTGGGAAGAGCGTGTGACTCTTGATCTCAGGGTCCTGAGTTTGAGCCCCAGGTTGTGTACAGAGATTACTTAAATAAAACTCAAAACAAAACCAAGAAACAGACATACTTGCCCAGGCAACAGCTATTAACATTTTTAGGAGAATCCTTCCAGGCAATCTGGGTTTCTAGTGAATAGATATACCTTCTGTTGAAGGACAGCTCTTAATTTCATTTTTTTTTTTAATATTGCAAACATTGCAGTGAGCCTTCTTGCTCGTATCAGAGGGCATTGGAAAAGTCCATTTTCAAGGTATGATTATGTTTCTTTGGAGTCAACAAACAACAGGTGTAAAATGCGCTTGTTATCTTGTAATATGCTTGTAATTTGTGTGGTCCTCTCTGAATTGCTACCACCTGCTGCAGTTGCCCGAGAAGGTTCTCAGGAATGATGGTGGGCTGACTCAGTGAGGAAGGCATGGATTCAGACTTGTGCAAGATGAGAAGCTACTTGTGACCAAAACCTATCTGGGGATTTGAGAGGACTGTTGAGGTTGGCAGATGGAGATCTTAAGGGAAGAGAAAGTACAGGTGTGTTAGGTATTTGGAGGAGGAAGTACCATCTCCCCCACTAATCCGTCTTCTCTAATGTGAGGTGGAATTGGGGAGGTTGCCATTCACAGCATGAAAAGCAGGAGACAGCTGTGGGGAGCAGGAGGGTGTGGAATTGACTGACCACTTCCCGGCTGGTTACCTTACCTCTTCTCTGACCTTCAATTTTTTCATCAAAAATAATAAATAGGTTGTTATAGGTGTCCACTTTCCAGGGTACTTGCGAAGAGTAGGGGCCAGTTTCTCCCAGAACCTCGGACATGGTACATGCTCAGTAAACATTTACTGACTGACTTAAGACTTTATTTATTTGTCAGAGAGAGAGCGTGCACGCACAAGCAGGGGGAGCTGCAGGCAGAGGGGAAGCAGGCTTCTTGCTCAGCAAGGAGCCCGATACGCGGCTCCATCCCAGGACCCCAGGATCATGACCTGAACCGAAGGCAGATACTTAACCAACTGAGCCACCAAGGTATCCCCCCCCCTTTTTAAGATTTATTTATTTGAGGGAGAAAGGTGCGCCCATGATGGGAGGGGCAGAGGGAGAGAATCTCAAGCAGACTCCCCACTGAGCGTGGAGCCTAACATGGGGCTCAATCTCAGGACCCATGAGAACATGACCTGAGCCAAAACCCAAGAGTCAATGCTTAACTGACTGAGCCACCCAGACACCCCACTGCAGTGGACTCTTAAATATTGAATTGCCACAGCCTGGTGCCCAGTGTGGGGTATAGAGTAGATATTAATTAATACTTCATATTTGTCCCAAATTTTTCAAAATCCAAAAGTAGAGATTTCTTTATCCAATTTCCAACTATCTTACACCTTGCACTTAGCATTTTTCCTCTTTCAGTAGGAACAACTTCATTTTAAAGAAACTATTTAGAACTTAGGTGGCTATTTGCATTATTAATTTAAAACAACAAGCAGTTACTGTGCATTAAGGTTGGTACCAAGAACTTTACCTGTAATAGCATGTTTAATTTTTACAGCAGTTCTATGAGCTAGGATTATAATTAGCCTCATTTAACATGAGAAAACTGAGGCACAGCTTGCTCCAAATCAAACTGCTGGTAAGTATTGGAGCCAAGATTTGATCTTCAGAAACTGCTCTGACCCATTACATTTTGTGGTTTCTTACCAAAGTCAACAAATTGTATCAGTAAAACAATTGGGTCCTAAAATAACAAGGTTTTACTCTATTTTGGAATAACATGAAAATTCCCAATTTTAGGTGTTCAATGTGGTGAATTTTGGTAAATGTATACAATACTATCACCATAATCAAGATAAAGAAAAGTTTTGCACTCTAAAATTCTCTTGTCCCCTTTGCCCTTGATCCTCTCCCTCCACTTCTCACCCCAGGCAACCAAGATCTGCTTTCTGTCTGAGTTCCAAGCACAGGATTTTATTCAGACTGCCCAGCAAGCCTCTGTGGGGTCAGCAGTACACTCATCATAATGACTCCCGTTTTGTATATAGTCTGAGTAAGTTTGCCAGATTTAGCAAATAAAAACACACGCTCCCCAGTTAAATGTGAATTTCTGATCAACAACAAAGAAATTTTTAGATAAGTAGTTCCATGCAGTATTTGGGACATACTTAACCGGGCATCCTTTATTTTGTCTGGCAACCCTGAGTCTGAGAAAGTTTGGGGGATGTCTTTCAGGCACTTCTCAGCTAGATCTTATTCTTCCTATTCCACTGAAGATCTGAAAATGGCTCAGAATTCTTAATCTGATTTAATACAAAGCACTATAAAAAGGAAAACAATAAAAGGCCCCATCTGTGTGTGCATTTGAGTATATTTCCTAGGAAGTTCTGTATCCTGATGGAATAAAAATGTCATCTTATAGAATTAACTGCTTTATTTACTTAAGAAACATTTACTAAGTTCCTATTAGATGGTATGCACTGTCGTATATTATGTGCAGATGGCACTTCAGCACATGTGATTTTTTTTTTTTTAATTTTATTTGAGAGAGAGAGTGTGTGAGAGAGAGAGCACAAGCAGGGGGCAGCGGGAGAGGGAGAAGCAGGCTTCCCACTGAGCGGGGAGTCTGATGCAGGACTTGGTCCCAGGACCCTGAGATCATGACCTGAGCCGAAGGCAGATGCTTAACTGACTGAGCCACCCAGGCACCTCAGCACATATGATTTTTGACTTTAAGTATTGGATTTCTATTTTGTATATTGGATAACTTTGAGATTGAGGAAGGGCACCTGCCCAGGCGAGGTGGCCCCTGCTCTTTCTCTGCCCAGCTGCATGGAGGCTACTGCATCTAAGACTGCCCCTGGGGAACTAAACCTGGCTGTTTTTCAAGATGTCGGTTGTGACTTATGCCCTCTGAAGTCATCGCCTGCAGCCCTGTCCCATGGTGAGGTTCCTTCCAGGTCTGGCAGCTTGCCCCTCTGCTGTTGAGGGCTGCTCATCTCTCTGCCATGTGAACTTCCTGACCTGACTTCTCTCTGAGCCTTTGGCTAAATAAAACCAGTTTGATTTATGCTCCACTCTTGCCTACACCACCTTCCTCTAAGGGATTTAAAGAGACCTTTGATGGAAACATTTAACTAGCTCATTTTGACCAAGTGTTAAAGATGAGGCCATACTGTGTAAGCGACACTGGACTCTATGAAAAGGATGCCCGCCCCTTTGCAAACATTTTGCCAGTATCTGATATGGCAATGGGCACAAGCCATAGAATCTTGCAAAGGATCCTTCCACGGTGATGGAAATGCTGTGTGAGCCCATATGTGCTGGTTTCGTCTTCACCACTGCAGGTGCTAACCCAGCCTAGCTCCTTCCCCTCTTTCCCTACCTCAGATTCTCTGTATTAGACTGGCCCATTCATTACCTCTGTCTACCTCACTTCCCTCTCCTGGGAAGACCCCTGCTTTCTGGCCCACTGGTCAGGGACCAGCCCTTTCTCTAGACCCATCTCAAGCCTCACCTCCTCTGGGAAGTCCTCCCTGATTGCATGAGATGCCTTTCTCGGATTCCTGGGTCACTTCGTGTTTAGACCTTGTCATGTTCCTCCTTTTGTGTATATATTTTCTTTCCCTTGGTTATTTAGTTACAAAAGCCAAATATTTAAATGAAGGAATGAATGAAGCTGTAGGCATAGTATACCCAGCATGGAATCCTTCTTTAGTAGATGCTCGAAAGAGATTTGGTGGAGGAGAAGGAAGGGAAATGAGGGAGAGAAGGGAAAAGTAATGAAAATCTGCCACTTATTAGCTTATAGGACCTTGGTTAAAGTCACTTCATCTCCCCAAGCTTCAGGTTACTGTGATTATCGTGTAACTTTGATGTGAAGGTGGCAGGATGACATGTTAATGGTGATGATGATCATCTACCTCACAGGGCTATTTTGAGGAACAAATAGAATAATATAAAAGCTAATGTTATTTGGTGCCAGATGCCACAGTCTGGATTGCTTTGAGCTGTGGCCCTTTATCTGGTAAATCTGGGGTTTTGATTTGAAGGGGACTTAGAGAGGTGGAATGGATAAGCCAACATTAGAAAGGACACCATTTGTGTCTGTAATTCCACTTGTCCTGGGTCACCACTTTGGGATAAGTATGGGGGGCTGGGAATGCATAAGGCGGGGAAGGGGATGATATTTTCCATTGGCCAGTAAAGTTCTCTTCATGTTAAAAGGCAGAACTCTATGATGGAGAAATCAGTGCAGGGGATTGTGCTGGGATTAAAAACATGTATTATCTAAACATGGTCTTTCAAAAACAAACAAAAACCCCAAACAAAACATCTCATAATAAACAAAAGAGGTAAGTTTTCCTTTGGAGAACTTTGAACAATTTTTGGGAAGTCTTTGGGCTAAACTCTAATAACAGGTAATTCTTATTATGCTATTGGTTTTAATAGCTAAACTGTGTGCTGAGACCAGTAGCAAAGGTTATATTTTGATGGAGTTGAAGAACTTGGGGAGTCAATGACTGATCTTTGGCAGGCCTAACGACTCAGTTTATTATATGTTTATCTTCCCCCTTAAACCAGTATTAGAGAGGGGAGGGGAAATATTCCTTGAGAAGTCAGCTCAGGTTGTAAAACCTGCTGGGAGAGTTTGGGCTGTGTTGGGTCATAGAACCTTAAGCCTTGGTGACTTTTCCCCCAGCTCTTGGCCTTACGGTAGGGGCTTCACCAAGATGCTCTCCTGCCCACGGAAAACCCAGATGGCTCAAGGATGCTGTGATTCAAACCAATTTGGGAGCATCTTTGACATTTATGAACGCATGCCTAAGAAGACAAGTGCATTTTAAAGATCGCTTAATCCGTTAATCAAGAAATAGTCACATGCAAAGAAGACGATTTTCTGCTAGTTCATGGAATTAACAGAGATGGGGTACATAAATTCCAGGTTGTTTGAGCAGCCTTGCCTGATTTGATGCTCCAACTGGGGTGTCTTTGGGCAGTGTATAGCATAACAGGAAAATTGCCTTGACTTAAAAAAAAAATTGTTGCGGGACGCCTGGGTGGCTCAGTCAGTTAAGCATCTGCCTTCGGCTCAGGTCATGATCCCAGGGTCCTGGGATCGAGTTCCACGCCTGCTTCTCCCTCTGCCCGCCTCTGTCTCTCTCTCTCTGATAAATAAAATCTTAAAAATATGTATGTTAAAAAATTGTTGCTATAATATTTTATACTACCAGATTTAGGAAAGGTTGCAAACTTTGATGGCTATAGGGGTCAGGCAGGTAATTGAAATGAGAGGCGTGGACCAAGTGAGAGGCAATGGGGACTGGTGGAAACTGCTTAGGCCTCCTCTAAAGGGGATGATTACCTGAAGAATGTGAACGCAGTGATTCCAGAACCTCTGATTTTTCAAGAAGCCAGAACATCAGGTTTTTTTTTTTTTTTTTAATGAGCTTTATTTTTGTGGACCAGTTTTAGATTTACAGATTATTGCAAAGATAGTACAGAGAGTTCCCATATATCCCTGCACCCAGTTTGCCCTGTTGTTTTCCATTAGTAGGGAACATTTGTTACCATTAATGTACCAATATTAATACGTTATGATGAACTATAGACCACAATTCAGTTCTATTTCTTTAGTGTTAACCTAATGTCCTATTGCTGCCCCAGAATCCCATCTAGGACACCACATTACATTTAGTTGTCGGCTTACTCTCCTCTTGACTGTTAATTTCACAGACTTTCCTTGTTTTTAATGACCTTTTCGAGGTACACGAGTCAGTTATTTTGTGAGATGTCCCTCTGTTAGAACCAGACGTTTTTCACCAGGCCAGGCTGGGGTTATGGAAGACCACAGAGGTCCCTGTTGTTCTAATCATCTCACAGGAAGAGCACCTACCATCAGCATGACTTACCACTGTTGTTACTAACCTTTCTAGATCTTAGACCAATGCTGTCCAATAGAACTTTCTGTGCTGATGGAAATGCTGTATGTTTTCTTTGTCCAGTTCAGTAGCAAATGCCACAAATACTGTCGAGTATTTGAAATGTGGCTAGTACAACTGAGGAACTGAATTTTAAATTTTATTTCATTTTAATTGATTTAAGTAGTCACAGGTGGCTAGTGGACATCATGTTGAATGGCACAGCTCTTGGCCATTGCGAAGATATTGACTTTCCCTTGAGTGAGATAGGAAGCCATGAAGGATTTTGAGCAGGGCAATGGATTGATCTAGCTTACCTTTTTAGAATGTTACCTTAGATGCTGTATTAAGAATAAACTGAAGGGGGTCAAGGGCAGAAGCAGAAAGATCTGTTGTAAAGCTCTTGCAGTAATGGGGCAAAGAGAGGACAGTGGTTTGGTCCAGGGTGATGGCAGTAGGGGTGGAGAGAATTGGTAAGTTTTTTTTTTTTAATTTATTTATTTGAAAGGAAGAGGGAGAGACAGAGAACATGAGCAGGGGGAGGAGGCAGAGGGAGAAGGAGAAGCAGACCCCCCACTGAACAGGGACCCTGATGTGGGGCTCGATCCCAGGACCCTGAGATCATGACCTGAGCCAAAGGCAGATGCTTAACCGACTGAGCCACGCAGGTGTCCTGAGAACTGGTAAGATTCTTGATGTATTTTGAAGCTAGGGCCTATGCATTGTTAATATTCATCACATACACACTGTGACAAAGGCCATGGAATTAAAATTTCTACCTGTTTGTTTCTCTTAAATCTGTTTTCATTTTCTTTAAGCCACTGACTATGAAATAGTAAGAGTTTTAGCCCTTCTGCAGAGGTACCATGTTAAAGCCCCTGGCTAGTTTCCTTTCTCATATTTTATTTTATTTTTTTATTTTATTTTATATTTTATTTAGATTTACTTATTTCAGAGAGGGTGGGGAGGGACAGAGAATGAGAGAGAATTTCCAGCAGGCTAAGCGTGGAACCCGACACGGGGCTCCATGTCAGGGCCTCTGACCCTGAGATCATGAACTGAGCCGAAGTCAAGAGTCAGAGGGCTCAACCGACTGAGCCACCCAAGCGCCCTTCCTTTCTCTTATTTTAGAGAGAATGATGCCGTGCCTTATCTTCAAGCTGCTACTGTAAGTGTAGGGCTGGAATGAAGGAAGATGCACTTTCGATTATCTAATTTTAAAACATATTTTTGATACATCCACTATTTAGCTTGCATAAAAATAATTTCCACCTTGGTCTTGGATCAATATTTGGGTGAGTAGGAGGGTGGGAAGGGCCTCACTGGGTTGCTACTGGGATCACATGTCAGCCTTATAGGAATTTTATAAGCCAGCACTGTCCAATAGAAATATAATGTGAGCCACTTATATAATTTAAATTTTTCTGGTAGCCTGATTAAAAAGCATAAAAAGAAACAGGTGAAATTAATTTTAATATACTTTATTTAATCTAGTATATCTAAAATATTACCATTTCAACATATCAATATAAGGAATTATTAGTGAAATATTTTACTTTTTTTTTCTCTGTACTAAGTTTGGGAGTCTGGAGTGTGTTTTATACTGATGGCATATCTCAAGTCAGACTAACCATATTCCCAGTGCCCATTAGTACTGGCTAGGGGATACCATATCAGATCGCATGCTGTAAGCATCTGTTATGTTCAGACTTGGTGGAGATGGGGTGGGGAATTAAATTCCTAACTATGCTCATTGTTATCACAGATACTATTGGAGAATGAGTTAAAGAAACATTGTATGGTATGAGTGGTGGACAGTCTTGCAAAAACAAATGAAAAATTAAAAGGTATCCCAAATCTACCAAACTCAGACTGGAGAGGTCAGTCTGTAGTATGTCTAATAGTATCTTCAGAAACCTATCCTGAAATAAACTCCTTCCTAAGAAAATCAGATCATCCCCTTTTCCTCCCTTTGGCCACCACGAAGGGTTAATTTTAAATTAAGTACTATAATGAGACTTGCCCTAAGAGGAGGCTTTGGTGTCTCATCAACCTTGAATTGGAGGTTCTTTGCCTTAACTGCATTTTCTGGATCTTTCAGCTGAGGCGGGTCTTTGGAAATTGCCTGCCACCTTTTCCACCAAAGTATTATCTTGCAATGACCACATCCATGGCTGATGAGAGGAGGGGCCAGTTGGAACAATATTTGCAGAATGGTATGTATTTGGATTTTATTTTTACAGATTTATTGAGATACAGATCATATACTGTAAAATTCACGCATTTAAAGTGTGCAGTTCGGGGCACCTGAGTGGCTCAGTCAGTTAAGCATCTGCCTTTGGCTCAGGTCATGATCCCAGGGTCCTGGGATGGAGCCCCATGTCCAGCTCCCTGCTCAGCGGGGACCCTTCTTCTGCCCCTCCCCCCCCATTCTCTCTCTCTCAGATAAATAAATCTTTTTTAAAAAGTTGCACAATTGAATGGTTTTTAGTGTATTTACAGAATTGTGCAATCATCCACCATAATCTAATTTGAGAACATTTTTGTCACCCCAAAAAGAAACCTTATACCTATTATCAATCACTCCTTATTCCTCTCCCCCACATGCCTCTATCACCCCCTATACTAATTTCTGTCTTAATAGATTTGCTTGTTCTGAACATTTTATATAAATGGAAACATACAAAATATGGCCTTTGTATTTGGTTTTAAAAATACTCTGTTTTCACATTTGCCTTTGGGTGCTGTATGTTGGCTTTGATTGTAAAAGTCAAAGACCTATTACCTGGATTGAGACCAAAATAGAGGGCTGAGATGAGCTGTTTTCCTGAAAGCTCTGAGAAAATATCAGAGTTGCATTTCCATCTCTGTCCAACAACCAGGGAGCCTCAGAGGTCTGCTCTGACCCTGATGAGGCTTGCAGTACCCTGGTCCTTGCCCCTTGCCTGCATCCTGCAAATGCTGTGCACAGCAAAACTGTGGTTGGCAAAACTAAGCACTCTCAGAAAGGGGGTTTGGGAGAAGTAGCAAAATTGGCATTCAAGTATTTAAAGATTTTGAAAAGGGGAAATAGTATATACACAAAATATTTGAAAAGTAGATCCTGTCCGAAGAGTATAAAATGAAAGGTACATTCCCTTCCAGCCCAGCCCCCACCCCCTTAGGCCTCTAGAAGTAAACACTATGACTTATGTATTCCTTGGAAGCAATTTTTGTGTCTACCGGTGTGTGTGCACATCCCTGTTTGTTAAACACAGATTGGAATGTACTCTATATACTTTTTGATACCTGATTCTTAAAAACTTTATTCTGAAAGAATTTCTGACTTACAAAAAGGTGCAGAAATAATGTAAAGAATTTCTGTATAGTCTTCACCCAGATTTCCCAAATGCTAACATTTTATATTTGCTTTATCATCCTCTCAATTTCAGGGTATGCGTGTGTGTATTATATATAATGTTTTGAGAGGCCTTTGTTACATACACAAGCCACTTTCCCCTTAAATACTTCTGTGTGTATTCCCTAAGATCAAGGACATTCTCTTCTACAACCACACTATAGTTATCAAAATCAGGCAATTAACACTGATAAAATAATGTTATCTAATCTAGAGACCTTTTTCAAACCACACCAACTATCCCACCAATACCCTTCATAGCACAAGAAAAAATGTGTTTTTCTTCTGTAAGTTGATTTTTCCCTCTTAAAAATCTATATTTTATAGACCATTCTAGATCAGCAATTATAGACTTACTTCATTACTCTCATGGTGGCACTTGTTTCCTTAAAGAAGATAGTAAATAAAAATTCTAGAAGTCCTCTATTTCCCATTCATCTTTTGTAATGGAGAATATACCTCTTTTAGACCTGTTAGTAAGCCTTTTCAAACTCAAAATGTAATATCTGTTGAATTTTTCTTCTCTCTTGGTTTGATTTCTCATGTCTTAGGGAAATACTCCTTTAACTACTGGCCTTTCCACAAATGATCACAGTGCCTAAGGGGTTGCTTTTCCAGGCCTGGCCTTTGTGCACATCATGGGGATATCTCCTGCATCCTCCTCTGGCAAGGCAGAGCAAGGAGACAGTGTGACTTAAGACCGTGGGCTCTAGAGTCAGACCCAGAGTCAAATCCTAGGTTTGCACTTCACTGGCTATATGACCTTGGGCAAAACATTTACCTTCTCTGAGCTTCAGTGTCTATCTGTAAAGTGGAGATAATATTTATCCCAGGGTTTGTTGTGAAGATTAAATGAACTAAAATAGACAAAGTGCTTAGCATTGTACCTGGTTCTTAACAGTTGCACAGTAAATACTAATTGAATGAACACTTTCTTCAACAGCTTTCCCCATCTCCAAGAATCCATGCTAACAATTACAATGTTAATTTGCATATCCACCACATAGATTCCAGAAAATAAGACAAGGGCTCCCCATCCCCCAAAATCATCTCCCTTAAGAAAGAGGGAATACCTTTTATAAAAAGTTTCTCATAACAGGGAGACCTTTTTTTCGTTACTTTCTTTTGAAAAATGTTGTATTGCTGGGAAAGATACAACTTGAAATGACTTCAGTCAGTGCTAGTTTTGAATGCTGGTAGAAGTTACAGTGAGGCAGTCAATTGAACTGGCAACAAAAAAAAAGGGAAGGGAAGAAGGAAAGAGCAAGGTAAGGAAGGAGGGAGGGAGGGAGGGAAGGAAGGAAAGAGAAACAGAAAGAGAAAAAAGAAAAGAGAGAAAGAAGGAGAGAGAAAGAAAGAAGGAAGGAAGGAAAAGGCATGGCGGGGGTGGGGGGAGTGGAGGGAAAGAGAAAGACATTTGCTACAGATGTAGTAAGTACATAAGTTTGGCTAGAGTGTGGGGTCCAGGAGAGGCGTTACAGGCAGGAGGGTAAGAAATGAGAAAGCAGGGGGCGCCTGGGTGGCTCAGTCGGTTAGGCGTCTGCCTTCGGCTCAGGTCATGATCCCAGGGTCCAGGGATCGAGCCCCACATCCGGCTTCCTGCTCGGCGGGGAGCCTGCTTCTCCCTTTCCCTCAGCTGCTCCCCCTGCTTGTGCTCTTCTCTCTCTCTTCTCTGGCAAATCAATCAATCAATCAATCAATCCTATTAAAAAAAAAAAAAAGAAAGAAATGAGAAAGCAGGCTGGAGAGCACCTCCTGCAGGAGTTTAGACTTCTCAGGGGAAAGCTTCTGCCCTTCTGCTCTGGTCACAGCACCTGAATATTGGCATCTCAGCTTTAAAAATCAAGAGGGCAAATACTCTTATAGGTATAGAAGAATAGAAAACTTTATTTATTTTTTTTTTATTTTAAGATTTTTTATTTATTTATTTGAGAGATTTGAGAGAGAGAATGAGAGCACGAGAGGGAAGAGGCTCAGAGGGAGAAGCAGACTCCCTGCTGAGCAGGGAGCCCGATGGGGGACTCGATCCCGGGACTCCAGGATCATGACCTGAGCCGAAGGCAGTCGCTTAACCAACTGAGCCACCCAGGCGCCCCAGAATAGAAAACTTTAAATCTCTCTGACAGCCTTACAATCACTTCTCTGGGGATAACCTCTTGACAGCTCCTATTGTTAAGAGAGGTACTCTCAATCAGGGATTCTTGGTTGATTTCAGATTTTCAAATTAAGAAATGTCTTGCCAAAGTGGGAGTCCAGGTCCAAGTTTTAAGATCTTTTTGCTTTTTCACATTAACTTCATCATCATCCTGGTAGGGGAGCAAGCTGGATATTGAGCGATATGGGGATGTGTGAATAAAGTGAGACTCCTGGGACTGATATGATGGGTTCACGTTGCTGTCAAGGCTGCCCGGAGGAGGCAAGCTTTGTGGATTTTCATGTATTTGCTAGGTTGTAGCTCCATTGCCCAAGGAGGCAGGGGTACACTGGCAAGGCCTTCAGGGCTCCCTTGAGGACAGAGCAGTTTAACAGAGAAGTCAACCCAGCCCCATGCTAACCTGGCTCACCATCCATATTTTTCAGTAACCATGGACCCAGACATGTTGAGAAGTGATGTCTTCATTGACTTTCTAAAACTCGTACAGCTGGTAAGCATGCTCTTCTTTACTAAGATCATTATTTTGCTGCTGAACATGTCTCTTAGTTACCATGTGTGTGTTTCTGGTCATCAACCCCACATTGGGTAAAATATATTCATTTGGAGTAATTGGAGGATGGTTCCTATTTCAGTTGCTTTTTTTGTTTGTTTGTTTGTTTTGGGTTTTTTTGGAGGTTTAGATTCTAGATGGAAAATAAGCATGTCACTTGACCTTTGAACTCACTTTAAGTAAGCAGATACCTTTTAAATCCTGTAGCCTAAGCATTGTACATCTCAAAACTGGCCATGAGAAAGAGAACCTTTCATCATTAAGGGCCTTCACAACAATTTGGGAATCTTCCTTCTGTAGATGGGATCCAGTGTGCCACAGTGAAGACATCAAGACAGCAGTAAGAGCTGGGCAAACTCTTACTTGCATCTTCTCTGCTCCTAACTCTGTTGTAAGTGGATCACAGAGAAAATTCAGTCTGAACAGAATGACATAGAGCAACTCCCTTTCCTTTGTTAGTCTACAGAACCACTGGCCACTTGCCTGTAGAGGTTGGAAGTTTGCCAAGTAGGCTTGGTTAGCACACCACTCATTCTCGTTGTACATGGGGGAACATTTTTATGCCTACAAGTATGTTCTTGACTGAATGGAAAGCTTTGCGAAGATTGAAGTCATAAGAATAACGTGATATTATTGAACTGGATCCCTAGCTAGGGGAGGAATGATACTTTGATGGGATTTGTAAAAAATGGAAGCAAATTTCATTTATTCCATGGGTCAACCATGTTGGTATAGTAACTGGTCCATTCAGCCTGAGAAATGACCCTCAAGTCTCCCATTGTGTCACCGTTCATATTTTCACATATACTTGATGGCTCAAGAAATATGTACTTTCTTTGAAAAGTTTGTTGTTGAGGTGTTGATGGTCATAAAATTCAAGCAGCACAAAAGGGCATATGATCCCACCACGCCTCTTCAGAGACAACTGTTTCCATTTAATGTGTGTTCTTTCTACATGTTTCTGTGCATTTACATGCATTCGTATGTATGCATATCCTTTCTGTTTTACAAATAAACACATACTCCGTGCACTTACTGAAACTTGTTTTTTAAGTTCTGCATCTTGCCAGTCCTTCTACGTCCGTCCACAGAGGTACATTTGGCCTCAGTTCTGTCATCGTTTTTGTGTACATTATGACTGTTGCTTTCAGTGCTTTTTAAAAACCATTCATGGGGCATCAGTGTTTTGGAGCTTTGTTTGAGTGTCTTTTCTCTGATAATCTGAACGATTTTTGCCCGGTTTAATTCTGTTAGTGTTTTCCCTTACCTTGCTTACTCTGATGAGATTTTCACTTTTGTAATGGCTTTATTTTTCTCTTCTGTGTCTTCCATCAACTTTGTCAGCTTACTTTTCTACCTTTTTGTTATTGTACGTCTTTTTGAGGCCTTCGTCTATTCTTTGAGTGTCGTCTCCTTAGTGGCATGGTGTGGGGAATGTATTTTTTATGCTTAGTTGGTCACGATTGCTCCCCCCTTCCATGAAGGAGTTTTACTGGGGGCTCTTACTCTTTCTTCTCAGGCAATCACTCAGCTTTGGAAGGGGCTGTGCTTTGTGAGCCAGCTGACACATAGTGTTGAGGAGGAGCTAGGGTTGAGTCATTTGAATCTGTCTATTATACTCCTGGATCTTACCTCTTGTTTCTGAGCACTTTCTCTAACATTCTGCCTGGAGGCCCGAGCAGTGTGTTTAGCCTCAAAGCCATAGCCACAGGTGCACACAGCATGATCTAGCATTTTAAACCCTTTTACTGACTAAGTAGTCTCAGGACTGGCTTAGTAGTTAAGAGTGCAAGTGAGATGACCCAGGTTTAAATTTTGGCTGCCAGACTTCTAATTTGTACGGCTTGGGGCAATTTACTTAGACTCTTTGTATCTCAGTTTCCCCAGCTGTAAGATAGGGAGAATCGCTCCTGCCTCACAGGGTTGTTTTGAGGATCAAGTAAGCCTTTAATATCTCTTAAAGCACTTAAATATCATCTGGCAAACTTAACACTTAGGAAGTACTTGCTACCATTAACACCAGTCCTTTCTTCTCTTCCCAACCATGTTAAGAGATTGCTTTCTGCAAAGATGGTGTGTCTGCACATTTTTTTGTGTGTGGCCTCCCCTGCCACTAGGTAGCGTCAAATGGGCCGGCAGTTGTACTCCCAGACATGCTAGTCCCTGGGGATTAACTGCTTGAAGACGGCTTCTGTGTAACTTGAGTTCCCTGGCACCTCGATACCTCTGCTTCTCTCCTCCCTGACCATGTCCAACTTTCACTGCCCTTGGCGGCCTCCTCTGAAAACCCAGTAGTGGTTCAGGCTCGGGACAATTTTCAGCTTCTTCAAGGATGATTTTCCTTCCAGTTGTTTTCTGTCTGTCTCCAAAAGGAGAGCAGGACAGAGGTAACTTTGCTTCCAAAGATGTTTATAAAGGAGGTTGATGATTTTGAAAAAGGAGTTTAAATCAGGAAGGTGGTTCTGTGCTCACTGCATCCCTGTCCTGCTTTATGCTGTCCTTTATCATTCATACATTGAACAAATACGTAGTGAATGTCCGCTGAGAGCCAACACTGCTCTAGGGGTGGGGGGAGACACCAGTAAATAGCACCCAGTCCAGCTCATGGAGTTTACTGGCTTGTTGGGGAGATAGAAAAGTCACTGGGCATGGCACTAAATGTAATGAATACTGTGAGACGGGGCCGCGCACTGTGATACAGGAGTGTGTGCTGTAAGACAGGGCTGCGCTCCGTGATGCAGGAGCTTGTGCTGTCAGGACCGTGCACCGTGATGCAGGAGCGCGCGCCATGAGACGAGGCTGCACACCGTGATGCAGGAGCGCGCGCCGTGAGACGGGACCGCGCACCGTGATGCAAGAGCACGCGCTGTGAGGACCAAGCACCGTGATGCAGGAGCGCGCACCGTGAGACGGGACCGCGCACCATGATGCAGGAGCATGCGCTGTGAGGACCAAGCACCGTGATGCAGGAGCGCGCGCCAGGAGACAGGGCCATGACCCAGAAAAAGGTTAGGGCTGTGTCGAGATTTCTGTCCTCTCAGCCATGGTGCAGCATGTGTGGGCCCTGCCACTCCAGTGGCTTTGTGCCCACTTCCCTCAGTGTGAAGTACAAATACCGTTCTCTACGTGTGACCCATGAGTAAAGGTCCAGGAGACACTGCCATAGGATGAGGGTGTGTCTGGGGGACCTTCTAAAGGAAGTGACAACTGAGCTTGTATTGGAAGATGTCTGGGGTGGGCAGGAGATCAGATCATACTCTAGCTTTTTCTTCCCGTTAGGGACAACACAACAAACCACATAGTATCTGGCGTTCTGGAAGCCTCAGGACTGATACTAGTAAAACTGAGGAAGTAGGCACTTAGCACTGAGGGTGAGTCTACTCCAACTTCCAGGAGACCCTCCCCTGGCCACCTTGCAGGGCCAAAGCAATTTATTGGTGGTAAATAGAGGCAGTCAATGCAGGAGAGCGTCAGCCCACCAAGTCTGCAGCCAGATTGCTAGTGCAGGGTGCACGGGAGCTGGGAGAACTGGAATGAGCAGTGGTGATATATGGATTTGCCAGACTGTGAAAAGAGCCCCAGGAACAGGGATTGGGCAGTTTGCCCAGCTCAGTATTCTACAGACCTGCATATTTTCACCGCTTCTGGTAAGTGCTTGGCCTGCACTTGCCAAGTGATTATTGCCATGTAATCCCATGCTCCCAGGCCTGGCTCTCCAGGCTCAGCAGTGCAAGATCATCTTCTCTCTGGGCAAGGACACAGGACATGAGAAACCTGAATGCATGCAAGCTTTCTGGCCCCCTCCTGAGGAAAGTCTTTATCAAGGATGATCATATGCAAGTTGCAAAAACAAGAAGGGTTTCCCTCTACAGGGTGATTTAATCTGGACGAGGCCTGGTGCTTTATGTGCACTCTCTCCTTTATCCCCCACAACTTGTTGAAGGAGGTGCCATTAGGATCTCTTTTTCAGGTGAAGTAACTTGTCCAAGGGCATATATCTCATACATGAAAGAGCTGGGATCTGAACATAAGGAGCCTGGATCAGGAGCCCCTGCTCCATCGATATTTTGATGTATTTCTAGAGTGGTGGTAGCCCACCCAGCCCTGCGCCTAACCACCTCCCTCTTGTTTTGTGTGTCTAGACTCCCTTCACTTACTGCATTCTATGTTTTTGCCCTGTGATCGCCTTGGAGATAGATGGATTTTTGAAAAGGCAAAATCAAAGTCTTTAAATACTTTTTTAATGTTCTTGATTCTTAAACTGTAGTATTCTGTGGCCTTGTGTGAACAACATGTTTGAGAAAAAGAGGACGGAGAAGGTATTTGGAGTAGCTTTTGTGCACCTGGTAAGTTAGGGACAACCTACTGACCTGGGAAGTTTAGCTCACTCTGGCTTTGTTTGGGGGATCCAAGAAGTGACTCTTTTCCTCACTTCCTCTTAAGAATGTTTGTCACATACCTGTGTGATAAAACCTCCATTAAAAACCCCACACTGTGGGGTTCAAAGAGCTTTGGAGTTGGTGAACATGCCAAGATGGTGGCAGGGTGGTGTGCCCAGAGAGGGTATTGAAGCTCTGTGCCCCTTTCCACATGCTTTGCCCTAATGCATCTTTTCCATTTGGCTGTTTCTGGGTTGTGTCCATAATAAGTGGGTTATGGTAGGTAAAAAGAGCTTTCCTGAGTTCCGTGAGCCATTCTAGAAAATTACCAATCTTGAGGAGGGTGTCGTGGGAACCCCTGATTTCTAGCTGGTTGTTCAGAAGTGTGGGAGGCCTGGACTTGTGACTGGCATCTGAAATTGGGGAGGGGCCATCTTGTGGGACTGAACCCTTAACCTGTGGGGTCTGTGTGACTCCAGATAGATAGTGTCAGAAGTGGTGTGAGTGGAGAAAACCCGTGTTTTTCCTTATAGCATCCTGTGAGCAATGTTAAGACCAGCGCTGGTAAATCCTCAAGTGTCTGCTATGTGGAGAGTGCTCTGTAGTGGGGTGAGAATGGAAACCAGGAGGCCATTGCAGGAGTCTAGGGAGAGGAGATGTCAGTTGGGTCTAAGGTCCTGGTGGTGGAGATGAAAAGTGGATGGATTCAAGAGATAATAGTGTAAGATGTAAAATATGCACAACTCAGAACTTGATTGGATATGAATGTTAAAAATATCTTCCTGAATCTTCTCTTGAATCCTTTATTTCTTATCTGTTGGCACTCATTCTAATCCAAGGGACATAACTTCCTCCTCATTCCTCGTGCTAACAATAACAAAACAATATAACCACCAGTTGGGTGTTTGCAGTGAGTACCGTTTCAAGTTCCACGCGTTGCTTCCTTGAATCTTGTCCACAGCTCTATGAGGTGGGCACTATTACCATCCTTATTTTAGAGCTGAAGGAATGAGGAATACAGGGGACAAGTGACCTCTCCAGGTTTGCACAAGGTCCCGTGTGGTGAGTGCGGGAGCTGGGCTTGGAACCCTTTTCCTCACATGGTTCAGCCCAGCCCCTTGGTACCTCCAAGGGGATTGTTGCAGCTAAGCTCTGAGTTCTACCCCTTCCCCCCACCCCGCCCTCTCTTCCCACCCATTTTCGCCACACTACCAGACAGATCTTTCTGTAACGCTGTTTCCATCCTTCTGCTTCCTTTTGCCTTTTTAATAAAATCTTCAAGTGTCTGATTCCAGGGCCCTCTATAATCTGACCCACTCTGCCAATCCAACCCGCTTTCTCGCTTTTGCAGAAGAATTTAATAAAGGTATGTATTTATATAATTTTAGCTGTTCATGTAATTTAGCTATCTTACCAGTCTGCAATTTAGTTTGAGTTCAAAGTTACACTGAAGTAATATAAATTAATGCTGGGCTTTTCTTTAGAATCTGACCAAAAAGTAATGGCATTCTTTTCATTCATTTTGAGTGTTTTTGAGGTAAGAGATCTCTGTGATGATAGGCCCCAAAACTTGAAGAACCAACATCTAGGCAAAGATGGGCCTAGAAAGGGACTATTTACAACAATTATTTTGGGGGAACCCATAGAAACTTAGTAATTGCACGTACATGGTGGGGAGGGGGTAGTTAAAATTTAAAGTCAAACGTTGCCCTTTGATAATAAAATTCGGAAAAATAAGCCTGTCAGTAATGTGATCGGCCTTTTGAGGTACCTGGATAATGCAATTGAGTTGTTGGATTCCCTCAGTTCCCTACAAAACCTGATCTGTTGTATCCGTGAATGTGGTGGGGGTGAGGAAAGGGGAGGTGTTGCCTGTTGAGGGGAAAGGTCCCAGTTGGTCAGCTCACCTGAGCCCAACTCTGTGATCTCCACACCATCTTAGGATTGGCCCTTTGGTTCTTCTCTCGCCCAGCCTGATACCAGGAAGGCAGTAACCTGGGCTGGGTGCACATTGTCTAGGCACCCCTGTATTATTAATATTCTAGCTTATACGGTAGGCTTAGAACATAGACAGTGATTTGAGTGACTCTTTTCTCAGTTCTGTCCAGGATGATACATACCCACTGGCCTTCTAAATGCCTAGGAGAGAACCGAACTCATTGCGTACAGTAGATGCTTTGGTGCATTAGGGTTTAATCCTGTCGTAGAACCTGGGAACAGAAAGGCTGCGACCTGAATCAGCCTCAGAGATGAGGCAGCCCTGTGGACTGACGGCAGCCCTGTGGACTGACAGCATCCCACTTGGGAGGTGCTAAAAACAGCCTTCCCCCAGATGCAGCTGCCCTGTGAGACTCAGCTGGGCAGCCACTGGCCATGCTTCCTCCTGGGGTCCCTCTCTCTGTGGTCACTGAGCACCAATTTCCAGCTTTACACTTTCCCAAACTCTGAAGGCCTTCTCAGTGTCTCTAGCATGTCCTTCACATTTTAGAACATTCCATCCAAGAACTTCACATGCCCCCAGGTTTGCAGTCTCCTCTAGTGCACACACATCCCCTTGCAGAATGCATAAGTGCAAGCAAAGCAGGACTGAGCTGGGGTGCTGGTCCTCAGCTGGACACTTACTCACAAGACAGTGACATGCTTCCTCATTCAGGCCTCATGGTTTGCACACTTCAGATTTTTGCTATAGCAGAATCATAAATTATTGCAGATTATGGACTTTTAGGGATGCCTGGAAATATTCAAAATGAGAATTAAAATTTGAGATGCCCCAGGGTCACATGGATAGGTTGTTTGTTTGTTTGTTTGTTTTTTCCCCTAAAATAGATGCCTTATTGTTTATTTGGAAATTATTCAAGCTGCATGTCATTGCTTTGTCTTGGCCTCTCCACACACCTCCTCACCCCACCCTGCCCCTCAAGACAACATCCTCCAAATCTCTGTAGTCAGCTCTGTGTGTTTCTGGATACTGTATGCCCCAAGGGTCCAGGGAGAGGACTGACCGTTCCCGCTCCGGATGCCCCATTGAAGGGACTGTGGGGCTCACTGGACTTTTCTTTTGCTTGCAGGACACATTTAACATCACGACCAAGACAGCCTCTCTGGATATATTTCTGCCAGATGGAAGGAATATTCCAGTCGAAATTCTAACATCAGATACTGCTGAAAGAGTCCTAGAGGTAAACTCTGTCTAAACTCCAGAACCAAATTTAGGAATCATTCTGTTTGAAGGCAGGGACTAGGATAAGTTACCTTCCAGAAGCTTCCTCCTTATCATTTTACTCTGGATGACACATCTGTTGAGATGCTGGGATTTTCTGGAAGATGGACCAAGGAATCTGAGCTACAGCCAATCCTTGGTTTTACTCTCCTTGTGGACATCAACTTCCCAGACATCTTTTAGGCCCTTCCTAAGGCTGCTGTCAGTCACCTGGGATTCAGCCAAGGATATGCCCTGGAAATATGCCAAGTGCTTTATTATGGGATGCCTCATAGTTGCGAGCAGGAAAGGGAGTGGAGTCCAGATGAGTCTGAAACAGGCCGTACCCAGGTAGGCTGGTGACAGGTTCTGTCAGAGTGACAAAGGAACTCTTAAAGGCTAAGAGTTGTCCCTCCTCCCCCACAGGGAAAACCCCTGAAGCCAACATGCCAGCAGGTCTAACTCTGGATCCAGAGGGCCAGACCTGAATTCTAGTTGGTTCTGTGAAGAGTCTGAGGACAAGACCCAGAGACTATCCTCCCTGTCTTTAGACGGCGGCTGTTACCAGCTCTGTCCCCAGGGCCTTTTCTCCCTCCCCTGGGCATCAAGGGGACACCAGCTTCTCACACTCACACACTGTTCCCAGGTCCTTTTCCTTTGGAGGGTTTTAGTTCTAATCCTCCAGAGAAGTATGTGAGGGAAAATATAAAGTTATAAACAGGTGGATGTCAGAAAGTTTCTAGGGCCTTCCCAAGGACAGAACATTCTTGTGCTGGGGACATGGTACCTGACACCTTCTGGGCAGGAAACAAGCCCTCCCTGTTGCATTCCCAGCCCGCGAGCCCACCTTCACCTGAAACCGTGGGGTGGGTGGACAGCCTCTCCCTACATCATGGCTCCTTGTTCTAGCCTGGAGATTCAAGCCGGTCCATGCCCTCCTGGTCTCCAAAGAGCAGTTTTGTCCCCAGACTAGGAAATCTCCCTTCTCTAGGGTCTTGGCTCTGTCCAAGAGTGATCATTTTGGACCTTCTTTCCTATGAAAGTCACTGCACACAACCTTTTCTTGGCTCCTGTACAGCTGTCCTGGTTGAACGGGATCAGCGGCCACCTCACCGCCAAGGCTATCCATTGAGAAGTTACCCTAGGGCCCCCCTCCTTTGCCACCCCCAAGCCCCCAAATCCTACTGACCTTGTGTCCCAAGTCTCTCTCCTAATAATTCCTGTCTTCCCATTTCCTTTTCTCCATCCTCACACCCTTAGTTTGAGTCCTCATTTCTCAGCTAGATTTCTATAGCAGCCCCAAAACCAATCCCTGCTTCCAGCATTGCCAATTTTCAATACTGACCTCCAGAATGACCTTTCTAAAAAGACACTTAATGCCTGAGGGGATTTATACAAAAAAACCCAAAAAACCAAACCTCTCAAATACAAAAACACTGTTCCCTAAATTGCCCTCGTGGGACCTGCACAGTGAGAGACTGACACATCAGTGAGGGAGGGGGACAGTAATGGGAGGGTGGAGGCCGCAAGCACGGACACCTCCAGAGCCAGGCCCATAACGCAGGGGTGCAGACGAGGGACGTGAGATAATTTGGGGGTGGTGGGGCCCGTGGAGAACTGGAGAGCCCCGGCCCTGCCTGACAGCATCATTATTGACCTGCTTTTTGCATACTGGGCTCACTGGCCTGATTAGACATCTCTGCACCTGAAGTTGGCTGCCCGGTGGGAGTCTGGGGTCTCCTCTCTGCTGGGGTTAGGGCAAGAGCTGAATTCAAATGGCAGCACTGCCACGTCACAAGCTCTGTGAGTTTGGGTAAGTTGCTTAATCTTTCAAAACAGTGTCTAAGTAATTACAGAAATAGCTCATGTTCCATCAACAGTGGTGGTTATGGTTATTTCTCATTATGGGTATTATTATTGATGTCGAAGAGAGTGTTGAGTCAGTATTGAGTAAAGTAATAAGTCTAGGGTTCCACAATACCATCATCTATTTTACCCGGCTCCCCTTGTAACTAATAGCGAAGTTTAACAAGGTGCATTTGTGATCTCAGAAAAATATACTTTCCCTCTTCTAATCACACCGACTTGTGAGAAATTCAAACCGCTGACACTGACGTCATTAACATCAGGTAAGTTTACCCGGAGGTTCTGGCCTCGAAGTGGTGGCGTTTCTATAAAAAGTAAAGTGAGCAGTTGGCCAGGCAGACAGGTGAATTCTCTTCCAGGGGCTGGGAACTTCTCCAGCTTGCATAAAAATGTAATTTAAATTTTGTAATTGAAAATCATTGTTTATATCTCCTCAAGCATACTCGCCCCCACTCTCCACCTCACCGCCATCCTGCTGGGCTCCTTAAAGAACCAACAACAAGCTAAAATCTCGTTTTGGTTTTTAACTCATTTGCACTAATGTGGTTTTATTGGTGGTGGTTGTATTTTGAAGTATCCTTAACATTTGCTAAGAAGAAAATATTACTGTGTCTCTTTTTGTCAATGCTTACTCCTCTCAAAAGAAGGTATGTGTGTTTATGTTTTTATAAATTATAAAAGGCTTCTCCATTCTCCCGCCCCCCCCCCACTCCTTTATCTGCCCTGGCACGTAAGCTTGCTATTTTCATTGAGCAAGTCAGAGAAGAGAGAAATCCAATCTGAATGGACATGGATCACACTCTAGGAAAAGATGTCTTTGCAATCTGTTCCATCCCAGCACACCCTCAACCCCTGTGCATGCAGGAACACTGGGTTTTGGTTTGGAGGTTTTGCACGGGCATGGGGATGGGTGAGGTAGAAAGAAGGCTAATGGGGACAGGCCTTGAGTGAACGTGTGAAAAGATCCCAGGCTCTTCTTTATTGTCAAAGCTATGCCGAGAACACCCACTCATATCATCCACCTAATAGGACTGTCTCATGAGGTAATTTACAGATCTCTGACAAGAAAAGTACCCCTTTGAGCCTCATATTTGCCACCTTGAGAACTTGGAGCCATGGTTAAAGCATCAGCTCACACACACGGCAGGAAAGGTGAAGCCTCGGGTGTCACAGAGGTGATCTAGTGAATTCAGGGTGTGCAAGCAAAGAAATCACTCTGGAGCCCAGGCTTCAAGAGGGAGGGTATAGGTGGGTGAAGAAAGGGAGAGTCTGTGGTAACATGGACATTCCCGCTAAGGGAAGGTGAGTTACTGTAAGACATGATGAGGTTCCAGCCTCATGACCCACTGGCAAAAATGAAACCATTGGAATGAAAGCCATTTGACAGAAAGGCCAGGGAGGAACATGAAATGCGAGCAGCCTGTGCCTGGGATCTGAGGTTTCACTGAGCAAACGCCATGCAAATTAGACTTGACCATCACAGGAGACATCAGACAGAGGCAGGCCCAGGGGTCAAAGACCGCCGGTCGCTCGAGCACTTTCACCTGTCAGCCAAGGGGCGGGGCACATCCCTTCTCCCAGTGTTGGATAAGCCAGCCCATAGGAAGGTGATCTGGTGTGGGGGCCCAAGCGGCAGATGTCACAGAAGGACAGACAGACATGGAGAATGGCTGCTGACCTCCAGTGGGCTGTAAAGACCAAATCCTCTGGGAGACACATCTGCGTCCAAGATGGAACAACCAGCCTTGGCAGAGGCCAGTACATGTCCGTTGTGTTGGGGCTGATTTTTATTTCCTTCACTCTATGTTTTTAATTTCTAAATTTTCTAAAATTAGTATTAAAGTTTTAGATTCAGAAAAGATTCCTTTTAATGTCGGCAGCCCCTTAAAGCCCCCTCTTATCGACGTTTACAGGCAATTTCAAATCCTGCACATCACCGTAAGCTTGGTGGACACTCCTAACTTTTCTTGTCTTTGGTTAAAGGTGGTGTCGCACAGAACGGGACTGTGTCAGGAGCTCTTGGGCTACTTCGGCCTCTTTCTCATTCGGTTTTGCAAAGAGGGCAAACTCTCTGGTAAGGAGAGAAGGAACGCAGGGCAGCCAGGAGCCGGGGAGGGCCGGTGTGGGCGGGCCCACAGGATGCAGAAGATACAGCCAAGGGCGGGGTGGCGTGTGGGCCTTACCACTGCTCTCAGCCCCTGGATCAAAAGTGGGGGGGATGAGAAGTTGTGTCTGTGTTCAGGGTGAGCTGGGGATGAGCAACTCCCCAGAGAGGTGGCACGGGCAGTAGCAAGACGTCAGGTCCTTCCAGCAACTGCACTTTGTCTTGTGCCTGCCCCAGCCCCAGGCCTAATGTCCGTCTCACCTTGACCCTTGCACCCTAGCCGCTGACCACCAGCCGTCGCACAACCCCCTCAAAAATGGAGTGCTAGACTCCAGGTGTCAGGACATCTCATCACACCATCACTTCTCCTTGTTAAGGAATGTTGGCTATAAAATGTGGATGCTATAAATAAGTTCTCAGATTCTTAAAACACACATAATGAGGTAGTGAAAGAGAACGGTATGATTCACATCACTTTTGCATTTCTCTACAGTGTATGTCTAAGACATTACAAGTTATTTACTTGTGAAATGGTATCGGTTATCTGAAGGCAGTTTACATATGTTCTCAAGAAGCTGCAGAGAGGTGGTCTTGAGTTGGATGTTAAGGGGTTTGTGTGGCGGCTTGGCCACTGAGATCCGCGGTGTGCTGGCGAAGGCACCAGACCTCTCTGGACCTCAGGTTCTTCTTCAGTATCACAGGGTAAAATACCCCCTACTAAAGGTGTTGATATTTTATGAGGATCAAATGCTATTCATCTTTTGAAGGAATTTCAGAAAGTTAAAAACGGTGCACAAATGCAAGGGAATATTATTGTTGTGATTTTATTCTTTCAAATGGTAATGCTTTATTTTCTCATTTCAAAGCCTCGGTATGTGAACTATATGTGCTGTTTCAACCAGTAAGACTCTTTTTCCCCTTTCTCTAGTCATGAAAAAATTGGTGGACTTTGAACTCCCTTATGTGAGTCTTCGAAGCGCTGAAGTGGAAAACTGCAAGGTCGGACTCAGGAAGTGGTAAGCATTTATGGTGATGGTAGGTATTTGAGGATGTTTTAGATTCCTGCTGACAATTTGTTGGTCTCACCCTGTCTGCCCACAACCTAACAGCTAGAGAAGGACCAGGAACTTGGAGACAGTTGAGAGGAGAGCAATAAAGAAGAGAGAGTAGAGAATGAACCAGAATGTTTGTCCTAAACAATAGGATGTTGAGGATGACTTTCACTGGTCTCCAGTAAGTACTTGAGGGATATTGTCATGAAGATGGTGGCCATGGAGGCAAGGCTTGAAAAGCAAGTGCTGTTGGGGTGGGGATCGAAGCAGGAATGATGAGAAACTGCAGGTTGTGGGCTTGCTTTGGAATGGGTTATCAACTATTAATTGACGAAATTTGTTGATGATTACAAGCGGGTGCAGTTCATCTGTTGAACTGTGGTATTCCCTAAAGGCTGAGAGTGGACTCAGCCAACTTGCAGTGAATTTGAACTCTTAATTATTCAGCTTACATTCCTAAAGGATTCCAACAATAAACTAGGGCCAGCCATACTCCTAGGTTGATTGAACACCTTGCAGAAAATACTACCCTTTCCCCCAGAAACAAGAAGCCCTACGGAGAGCTAACAGGCAGAAAATAACAAGAAGCACCCTGGGGTGCCTGGGTGCCTGAGTAGGTTGAACATCCCACTCTTGATTTTGGCTCAGGTCATGGATCTCGGGGTTGTGAGATAGAGCCCCACGTCAGGCTCCATAGTCAGTGGGGAGTCTGCTTGAGATTCTTTCCCTCTGCCCCTCCTCCCGTTCTCTCTCTTGCTGTCTCTCAAATAAATAAATCTTTTAAAAAAACAGGAAGCACCCCACATATATCCCATAATCTGTAGTTCGCAGTGTTTATTACCATGGCTGTATTGGATTGCTTCTTTGGTTCCTTCTCTCCCAGCCCAGCTATTCTGTAATCTGAGCACAGAAGTTTTATAGAAAGGCATTTTGTAATCTAGGAATAGTAGGTATCTTGACCTCGTGATGCCTTGCTTAGAGCTCCAGTCTGTGGTTTTGAATTTCGGAAGGATATTCTGGGCAAGGCTAAAAGTTCATATACTGCTATTCAAAAGTATTCTGAGAAACTCAAAATCTGTGGCATGGAACCCTGAGAAGGGGGAAAGGAAAAACCCTGAGCAGTTCCATCTAAGTGTTTCTGGAAGCTGCTTAGTATAAGAAATGGCTGAGCATGATTGTTCCTGGGATCAGAGTATGTGAATCTAAATCCCAGCCCTCTCAGGATTTAGCTGAATAACCTTAGCCAAGTTACTCAAGCTCACTAAGCCTCAGTTTCTTTATCTGTAAAATGGGAATAATAATAAGAGTCTACCTCAAACAATTAATATGAGGGTTAAATAAAATAATTCCACATGCTCAACAAATTTTGGTCTTGTTTGTTACTGTTATACTGAGGGTAATAATGATAATAGTAATAACAATAACAACAGAAATCCCTGGGGCTTAGACTGTTTTGCTCATGGGCTCTCCAGAGAACTTGACATCAAAGAAGACATGAGGATTCTGTCCCTCACCTTGAAGCCTTAATTGGAAATTGGGCTTATCCTATGTCTTCATTAAATAGGTATATTCTAGATCATCAGTGCAAGAGAAAATGTCATTCACTTGTCAGCGTCTCGGATCCAAGCAGGTTGCCTTTGCTTAGGGGAACTGTGAAGAAAGGAGGTCCCACTCCAGTTGTTAGAGCTGAGGGTCAAGTCACCTGAGGGGGAGAGCCTGGAGTAGGATCCTGAAGGTGACTTGTCCTCTTTCTAGGAAAAGTCTAACTGAGTGGGAGCAGGGAGGCTAGCTTAGCTGCCATGAGCTGTGGGATTCCCAGCATGTGAAACATCACAATGAAGCCTAGCCAGCATTTGGGGGATTTTTCTCTGTCTGTGAATTCTCTGGTGCATCTCTCCAATTATGATATGGTTCCTTCCAGACCAGAGGGAGCCCACCCTGGCCTCTCAGAGCCCCAGTGTGGGATGGGTCTGGGGGCTGTCTAGCTCTGATGTAACAGTTGCTATTCTCTGCCATGGAGAATAGGGTGTATGCGCAGCATGCAAATTAGCTAAATAGAATATTACGGAGTGCTTCCGTTGCTTCTCCCCCAGGAGGAAGGTGATCTTCAAGTCACATTTTCATCCTTTCGGATGAAAGGATGAAACATTCCTAATGTATGCCAATCCCATTGGTCTGTTAACCATTCACTTCTAAGTGCAGTGACTCTACTTACGTCTGCCTTCAGATTGGTTTAGACCAGCTGCAGTGGATCGTTTCCTGACCGTTTCCGTCCATTCTCAGCAGCTCCTGTGCTTATACAGGAGCTACGATTTCAGTTTATCCTGGTGATTCTGGATCCGTTAGACAGACATGGAGCCCTGCCATTTGCAAGTCACTTTGCGAAGGTCCAGAGGGGCAACTCCAAATAGGATGCAGCCCCGACATACCTGGTATCAAGATCAACTTGATGAGAGCAGTGATCAGGATGAATTCAGAGTGCTAAGGATGCACAGAGGATGGAGTGGAAGCCTTGGGGAGTGGGGACCAGAGGATGCCAGGGGAGGCAGATAAGTCAGGGCTGGAGGCTGGGGAGGGCAGTGGTCTTCCAAGCAGAGGAGAGAACACATGGTTGGAATGTAGAGTGTGAGGGAGGGAGGTGGGTCATAGATGGAGCTCAAAATGAAAGCTAGGTATCCCATGACGGGTACCATGGAAGGGAGCAGGATGAGTGATCTAACTCCTGGGACTATGAGAGTCCAAAGATCACTCAGGAAAGAGCACTCAGGTTCGAATGCAGAGCCTGAGACTGAGCGGGGCAAGGCTGAGGCAGATGGCCTGACAAAGAAAGCAGCTCGGGGGGTAGACGGGGGTGGCCTGGGTACAGGGCAGTGATGCAGATGTGGGTACGGGGCTGATGAAGACACCAGGTACTGTGGGGTAGGGAGAGGGCATCCACACTTGGGGACTGACAGTGGGGCTGAGTGTGAAAGGGGCTGTGGACCATTTTCCGTCAGCTTTATTGTTTGGCATCTTTACTCTCAGAGTCCACCAGGCAAGAGCTTACAGTGTAAAGAAAGTAGGAGACAGAGAGGTGGAGGGACAAACCGAAAGTTAGGCGAGGAGAGGGGTGTTAGAAAGGGGGGGGCTCAGTTTAAAGTGTAGGGGGCCACCACTTCAGAGAGCACTTTCTCCCAGGTGTGCCCACCAGCCGTGTCATATAAATGAACTTAATGCTCCTGAATCACACAGGTACATGGACCCAACCCTGGACTCCGTGCTGATGGACTGCCCAGCAGCGGTAGATTTGATCTATATGCAGGTGAGGGTGACCGAGGACTCTCCAAACATCAGATGTTCTTGACCACTTGAGATTGAAACCATTAGAAAAAATTTGTAATAGCTAAGAATTCTACCTCCATAGCTAGAAGAGGGAAATTCACAGAGACAGAAAGTACAATAGAAGTCATTAGGGGCTAGGGGGCAGGGAGTTATTGTTTAATGGGTACAGAATTTTTGCTAGGGATGCTAAAAAAATAGGTATAAGAGAGTGTAAATAGTTACATGACATTATGAATGTTTTTAGTGCCACTGAATTGTACACTTAAAAATGGTTAAGAAGTGGGGCGCCTGGGTGGCTCAGTCAGTTAAGCGTCTGCCTTCGGCTCAGTTCATGATCCCAGGGTCCTGGGTTGGAGTCTGGAGTTGGGCTCCCTGCTCAGCTGAGAGCCTGCTTCTCCTTCGGCCTCTCCCCCTGCTCACACGTGCGCCCCCCGCTCTTTCTCTCTAAAATAAATAAACCTTTTAAAAAATGGTTAAAATGATAAATATTATATGTATTTTACCACAGTAAAAAAAATTTTAAAAGAAGCAGAATTTAGAAAGAAAGTTCTACCTCCATTTTAACAATCTCTCTGAGTTTTCTAGCCAACACTCCATCATCTGGACCAATTTCCATGAGCTTAGAAATGATGTCGCTGATAATCTAAAGCTACATGTGGTCCCTATATCTCATTTTAGCATCATCATCTTTTTCCCTGAGCTGACAAGCAGCGTACCTGCCCGCAGGGCCCGCTTCGGGGGTGTGTAGCCTGTGAAACAGCACTGGGACCCAAGCTCAGATGGGCCCCACACTTGTTTAAGATGCTGCTGTCGCCATCTTGAAATCCTTAATTTTGGAACAACAGACCCCACATTTTCATTTTGCATTAGGCCCTGCAAATTATGGTGTTGGTGCTGCCTACCCCGGTGCCCTAAGCCCCAGAAAGTACAATTAGAGTTTGGCTCCTTTCCTTTCCCGGACTCGGTGGTGAAGGTTCTACTGAGCAGTGGGACGGTCAGTGGATGCTGCTTCTGTGATACGTCTCCAGTCACCCCCCGAACCCCCTCTGTTCTCCTGCCTCACCAGCCCGCTGTCGCTACATACACGATGTTTCTCCATGGAATTGGAGTTATCACTTACACAGAAAGGCAAAGACTGGGTACCTGGTGGCTCAGTCAATTAAGTGTCCAGACTCTTGGTTTCTGCGCAGGTCATATCTCAGGGTCATGAGATCGACCCCACATCAGCTCCACGCTCAACAGGGAGTCTGCTGGAGATTCTCTGTCTCTCTGCCCCTCCCCTCGCTCACTCTCATTCTAAATAAATAAATAAATAAATAAATAAATAAATAAATAAATAAATAAAATCTTTTAAAAAAGGCAAAGACAGTGGCAGAATTCCCTTTTATATTCATAAAGCAAAGGCTCATCTTTGAAGAAATGACCACACTTTCATATTATCTTCTAAAGCAACCAGCAGTTGCTTTATGCACCCAGAGAGAGGGAAACTGCTCGGTGTTTTACTAAGCTGTATGCAAAAGAACTGCCTGGCACAGGCCAAGCAGGGCAGCCGACGGCAGGAGAAATCACCAAATGCCTCAGAAGAACTAAAAGTAATTACCAGCTGGGGAAGTGGGCATGGCGGGTTCACACACCATGCACCAAAGTCATAGGGCACTGTGCCGCCGTTTCACCGGCAGTGTTTTTACTTAGTGTCTCACAAAATCATGGTACCAGAATCCATGGTATCTTCAGTTTGACCAAGTAGAGCATCATTGACATCTGTATTTTCCCCGCTAGACTACCAGCCCCATGCAGGGACCTTGGCCTTTCCAACGCTGGGTGCAGCACCTGGACTGAGCAGACACACAGAGCCCAGTGGCCAGAATGTCTATAAGGGGTCACAGCCCTAATGCCCACTCCTTCTTATGTGACTTTTTTTTTTCAGATTTTATTTATTTATTTGGGAGAGAGAGACAGAGATAGTGAGCAGGGAAGAGAGGAAGAAGCAGACTCTCCACTGAGCAGGGAGCCCGATGCGGGGCTCGATCCCAGGACCCTGGGATCATGACCTGAGCTGAAACCAAGAGTCAGACGCTTAACGGACTGAGCCACCCAGACACCTCTCTTCTGTGACTTTTTAAGAGACCAAGGCAATTTAATAAATCATCTTCACAAAGCTCTTCTAAATTCTGAGGAGGCAAATCAAAATATCGCTTATTAAATGTTTAATGTTCACTGTCGTAGTTTAATGGCTAGAATATAGTTTTGAGTTCATTTCTTATACTTTAATTAAACCCACGTTGCGTGAGTTGGAACATAACTTGCCGTTTTAAATGCTTACTGAGGCTCATTGCCGTTCTACCTCTGCTATTATAGCACGTTATTGGTTGTGTCTGGTCTATTTGATACCACGTCCTTGGGGAGAATGCATCACCCAATTCTACTATTGTTCTGGTGGGAAACAGATTCTTTCTGGCCTGGTTTCCAGGATACGTTGTGGTGAGAAGGAGGACCTGCCAGCATAATCATAGGAATTTTATCTGTCTTCATCAAGGAGTTGTAAACCAGAGAGAAATGGACCGTATTTCCTCCGCTTATAGCTGGAAAAAAAAATGGCTTTACAGAAAGCACACTGAATTCAGTTTCGGAGATGCGTTCTGTCCCTTGCTCTGCGGCAGGCTGTCTCTCCATGTGATCTGGGGCCTGCCACTTCCTCCTGAACCTGGCACTACAACATACCCCTGTTAAGCGATGAGATTGAATGAACAGTTTCTAAATTCTCTCTCCGCCCGAATAGACTGGTATTCAAACTGTAGCTCTTTGCTTGGCAAAGTCTTCAAATGATTGTAGCTGACATTATAATCATCTGTGCCATTATCATCAGTATTCTCACTGTTCACTGAGCCCATGCAGAGGTACCAAGAAGTCGGCCCCAGGGAGTCATGACCACCATTGTGGTCTTTTTTGGTGAAACTCTTCTCAGCTCCCCTCGAAAGAAAATGCCTCCCTCCCTCGCCACTCCTGTGGTATTTTGTTTATACCCTCCATTATGGTGCTTCTCACCCAACCTTGTAAATACTGCTCATATACCTATTTGCCTAACTAGACTCTGAATGGCCCAGGGCAGAGACTGTCCTGGAAGCTTAGGATGTGTGAAGGTATGAGAAGCAATCATCCTTTTAAATAATGCAGAAAGTTCTTTGGAGTTCTTCCGATAAAGGTGCCCTCATAATTAACTATTAAGGGACACCCTTTTGATTTTTCTAAAGCAGGTGTGCCCCATGACATCCTAGGAGCCAAGTGGACTCCCACATGTTCCCTTTTTCTTTTTTAAAATTTGAGTAACAGGGCGCCTGGGTGGCTCAGTTGGTTAAGTGACTGCCTTCGGCTCAGGTCATGATCCTGGAGTCCCAGGATCAAGTCCCGCATTGGGCTCCCTGCTCGGCGAGGAGCCTGCTTCTCCCTCTAACCCTCCCCCCTCTCATGTACTCTCTCTTTCTCTCATTCTCGCTCTCTCAAATAAATAAATAAATAAATCTTTAAAAAAAAATTCGAGTAACATTAACAGAATGGAAGATTGTATATAAAACTATAAATTTCTGGGTTTTCTCAAAAATATTGAGGCTTGGTCAGTTCTGGGCCTGCATTTCAGCACCACTGGCCAGTATGGTTAACTTGGTACAAATTAGAACAAGGGGTCTCTTCCTCCAGGCCGGCCTAACCCTGTGTCAGGGCCCGTGGCTTGGGGAAGGGAGCATGGGTTGACCGTTAGCTTCCCCAGAGCTCCATGGCCCGGTGCCCTTTGTGCAGAGCCTGGCCTACCTGCACAGGCCCGGCCTTGCTCTGCCGTGCCTCCACCACGGAAGCTGAGTGGCTGATGCCTTTCTTTATGTTCCTCACTGCTTACCCTCTGCAGGGGATACGAGATATGTGTGTTTGAAGCTATGAAACCCATGGCTTAGGTGATTGCACTTGATTTTAAAAAATTAGTTTCTACATCAGTCTCCAGCAACCAGTCTTTGGGGCCAGAGAACTGAGCAGAGCCATTTGTCTAAACTTGACTCTCTCATTGTTAGAATGAGGTCCTGTATGTCATGTATTTGATGACTCGTGAGCCCATAATCAGGGTCAAATCTTTTCAAAGGTAGTAAAACAAAAGCGGTCCGTTCCTGCTGATGTAGGGCATTTAAATCTCTGTGTCTGAAAGTCCCAGGTCCCCTAATGCTGAATGACATATCTTCAGTGAGTCCTTACTGGTGTGATTGCTGTTCACCTTCTTTCTTTAGCCACGCTTTCTCTTTGATATCTCTGCCCTGTGATAACAGCCCTTACAGGACTCTACCACCAAGTAGAATTCAGGAAAGAAAAAGGTGTTCTGTTCTTCACACCCACGTTGATTCCATTCAGGCATGGTGTCTAGGTTCAGTTTTGAGAATAGATGGTGACCATGAGAAGGTCTTGGGGAGGGTAGGTGCCTAGATGCTCAGAATTCAGTGGCTTGGGCAAGGGCTTGGTGCAGTGGCCAAATCAGGATTTTAACCCAACTCTTGCCACTTACTTGCCAGGTTGTCTCAAAAGCCATAACCTCTCTGGACCTCAGTTTACCCATTTGTAAGATGGGGGGATGTTCCTACCCCACAGAATAATTTGGAAACAGTAAGAAAACCTATCTACAACAGGTTCTCAACAAATACTAATTATTTTTCTTCTCCTCTCTAAACCCATCTCCTTTTCCCCCAATCTAAATAGCTAAATCAAAACTTTATTCAGCTCTTCATTCTCTGTTTGGAGATAAAGCATAACCAATAACACTGAGGGATGGAACACATAAGCTTACATTCAGATTAGGGTGTAAATAAGTGCCTGACAATTGGCAAAGAATTGTTGAGTATTGGCTGTGTGTAAGACCTTGGATAAGATACACTGAGGTGAAGGACTCAAGGTTTTCCTTGAGGGGTTAACAGGCTAACTGAAGACCAATGGAAAACTTCTTTTAAATCATGATAAATAAAAACAGCACAGGCTAATCGTACCAGTTTAAATCCCATCAGTTCTATATGGAACTTCCCGTTTCCCTAAACTCTTGTTAGCCCTGAATATTACATATATTTTAGTCTTTGCCAAGTTGAGAGGCAAAAAAAAAAAAAAAAAATACTGATTACTGGTGAGGTTAAATATAGATTTGTAATTTGGAATTCCTTTTTGTTGATTGCTGATACATATTCCTTGTTGACATTTTCCCTATTACTTTACATGAATAATACCAACTTTTTCCCCATATATGATGCAGTCATTTTCTCTGGTTTGCCATTTACTTCTTAGTTTTGTTCTTGATGGTTTTTATGTACAGAAGTTTTATATTTTCATGTAATTATATATTCCTTTATATTTAAAAATATTATTCCTTACCTCAAGATCAGAATTTTTTTTCTGAATCTTTTTTTTTTTTTTTTGAAACAGCTAAACCTTTATCTGGATTTATTTGATTGGGTGGCATGGGGAAAGAGCTAACTGTATTTTCTCTCCCAAGTGTGGCCAGTTGTCCCCAAACCATTGGACGATCTCTTCCTATACCCACTAATTTAAAAAGTAACCTTTATAACATGCTAACTCCTTATATATGTCCACTTGGGTCTGTTTCTATAGCCTTTCATACATGAGTGTGTTTTTGCCAGATTAATTCATTTCTGCTAAGGTTGCTAATCCTACAACTTCTGTTGTTTTAAGGCAGTTCAGGACTTTGAAAAAGAATGGGCCAAACCGACACAGGCACAGAGGCAGAAATTAGAGGCTCTCCAGAAAGAACACAACCAAACCAAGGTAAATCAGATACTGCACCAAGAGAAATCCCTTGGAGGGAAGTTAAAGAAACATATTAGAATTGAGCTGTTTCTTAATTTAGAAACCCATCAACCACTAAAAATTGGGTTCTTTTAAAAAATGAAAATACCATCATTAATTTTTCTGATTATATTATTTAAAGATTCTGAAAAATACAATAGATTGTGGTGAACCCTTTGCCCACTTAATATAGATCCTCAGCATTTTTTTTTAATGACCACAGAGTATCCTGTTTTATAGTTATCATTTAGCTAACCAATTTCTTATTATTGGAAATCTGGTGTTTTCGTTTTTGCTGCTATAAATCACTTTGGCAGCGAGCACCATGAGGCCCAGGACTGTATCTAATTTACACATACCCTGTAAATTCCCAACACCTGGAACGGTTTCTAGCTGAAGGTCTCTGAATACTGCAGGCAGCATCCTCTGTCTTTGTGTACATATTCTATTATTTCTTAGAATATATTTCTAAAAGTCCATTTTTAAAGTTCCATAAAGACTGTACCAACTCACCCTCCTGCTGTCCCCAAGCAGTGATACAAGCCTGACGAACAAGGCATATTTTAACAGAAGAAATGGACTCTGCTTCATAGTGTTGTCTTCTTTATCCTTTAGACTTTGCTAGTGGTCACCACTTTGCCAATGTTCACTCATTGATTTTAAACAAAATGCAAACAAAATTTAGAGGACTCATTTATACCTACATCGACATAGAAAGTAATTCTTCAAAAGCTCAGATAGTTTGAGAATTTTACTGATGGGCAGTATAAGAAAAGGAAAAAGCATCTACTGCCATGATTTAATATTTTCCTTCCTTGGTATTCTGCCTCAGGTTTGTCACGAAAATTTTGGGGGTCAATTTCAGTTATAGTGTTTATTTTGTTGGATAGGATGTTTAGATATAATCAGATACATCAGCTGCTTTGGATACAATTACAGATTCTAAGTGCATTTCTGCTCCCTAAACTTTTTAATTTAATAATTTAGTAAGAATATTGTTTTTACCATGTGCTATACTCCACCAAAATTTGTATTTGTATTTTTGACGTAAAACAAATTTTATTTTCTATGATGAATGTTTTACCTGATTTTACCATACTATTTGTAATAGTCATCTTTAAAAAACTTTACTTTGAGTGCATGAATTAGATGGAAAAAAAAAAAAGAACTGAACCATGATTCAAATTAACTGATATTCTCTTGAAGCATCTAAGGATACTGACATAAAAACCAGCATTATTTAAGTGTTTATAAAGTTCTTCTGCTAATAGATTCAGCACATTAACAACTATTGCTTTACTTTATATCCATGTGCAAAAAAACCTGGAGTTGAAAATGAGTGAAATTAGAGGCACCTGGGTGGTTCAGTTGGTTAAGTGTCTGCCTTCGGCTCAGGTCATGATCCCAGGGTCCTAGGATCCAGCCCCACATTGAGCGCCACATAGGGCTCCCTGCTCAGTGGGGAGCCTGCTTCTCCTTCTGCCTCTCCCCCACTCATGCTCGCATACTCTCTCTCAAATAAATAAATAAAATCTTTAATAAAGGAAAAGAAAGAAAATGATGAAATTAATTTAAAGGAGCAATTAGTTGATCTAAATCACAGATAGGCTAACTACAGCCCATGGACCACTGTTTTTGTAAATGAAGTTTTGTTGACACACAGCCATTCTTTTACATACTGTCTAAGGCTGCTTTTTGTGCTAGGATGATTAAGGTGGGTAGTTATAATAGAGACAATATGCCCAGAAAACTGAAAATATTTACTATATGGCTGTTTACTGAAAAGTTTGCCAACCCTCAATCTAAATGAAAATATATGAACATACCTTTTGTAGTTATGCTTGTTAAACTATCTTTTTCAGGTGTAAGCTTCTTTAAAAAACTAATTTTCTTTAAAAAAAAAAAAACAACCCAACTAATCCTTGCAGATTTCTTTTAGTTTGCATATGGTCAGTAACATCACTACACCCGATTGTTGAATGACAAATGCCCACAAGCATTTTGAACGAGTTACTAATTCATTACTGACTTTCTAGAGAAATGGAGCTTAACTTTTTTTATTTTTATTTATTTATTTTAAAGATTTATTTATTTGAGAGAGAGAGAGAGCACAAGAGGGGGGAGGGTCAGAGGGAGAAGCAGACTCCCTGCTAAGCAGGGAGCCCGATGTGGGACTCAATCCTGGGACTCCAGGATCATGACCTGAGCTGAAGGCAGTCGCTTAACCAACTGAGCCACCCAGGTGCCCAGAGCTTAACTTTTAAACACATTCCATCTCTTTGAGAGCATTGCAGCCAAGAGTTGATTACAAAACGTTTTTTAAAGTGTTACCAACCAATAAGATAACGATTTGTAGCAAATAATAAATAAGAAACTATTGTAGCAAGAGTTTAAAACTGCTCTGTATGCTGTAAGGCAAGATTACTCAGCCCTTCCCCACCCCTGCATGCATAGCGTGACTCAGGACCTGTCATTTCTGTGGTTTCCCATTGACCCAAAGGAGGGCCAGGCAGCTTAACCCATCTCCTAAATTGAACGCGTGAACCACAGCACAATGAGCTGGTACAACAAACGATGTGAGTCTGGAAGGCACAGGAGCCTCAAATAGCTCTCCCGCCTTGTAGTAACAGTCAGCTGCCCCTCACTGCTCATGTCTGGGCACATTTCACTTTCTCAGAGAGTGCTTCGTATAGTCCTTGAAAGGACTTGCCTTCCTTCAAGAAAGGATCTGGAAAGTGCCAGGTTGTCACTGAGTGATCTCTCTGATTTAACCATGTGTTCAAGTAAGAACTCCCTTTTCTTCATGCTTATCTCCCACAGCATCAGGCAGGACCATGGTGAAAGCTGGAAGAACCAGGGAGAGGTCTCCAAACTGATATCAGCTTATTAAAAACCAATGGGTAATAATAATGCTTTGTTACAAAAATGAAAAGTTCCGGATAGATATTGTCAGGACAGGATGCCTGGACCACAGGTGTGAACTGCAACTGTCCTCTGTTCTTAAGCCAAGTCAGAAGCAGAGGGAGAGGGGGCGCCTGGGTGGCTCAGTCGGTTAAGCATCTGACTCTTGATTCCGGTTCGGGTTATGATCTCAGGGTTGGGCAGTTGAGCCCCATGTCCGGCTCTGTGTTGGGTGTGGAGTCTGCTTAAGATTCTTTCTCTCCCTTTCCCTCTGCCCCTCCCCATTGGCTCTCTCTCTCTTAGAAAAAAAAAAAAAGAAAGAAAGAAAAGCAGAGGGAAAAGCTAAACCTTAAAAGTTCCATAAAGGTGTTCCCTTGGCACTATTTGGCTGTCTCTAACTCTACTTAGAAAGCAGACTCACTTTCTTGTTTTATTGCCATTTGCAAAAACTCTTCCTTGGACAATTCATACCATCATCATATAATGCAGACTGTAAAAATTAACTACTTTCTTTCTACATAGACCTGAGCTTAGTCTTTTTTTTTTTTAAATAGCCTTTTTTTTTTTTTTAAGGAGGCTTGACATCAAATGTAGGGATTGAACTCACAACCTTGAGATCAAGAGTCACATTCTCTACTGACAGAGTCAGCTAGGTTCAGCATTTCATTTATTTATTTATTTATTTAATATTTTCTTTCTTTCTTTCTCTCTCTCTCTCACGCTCTCTCTCTAAGAGAGAGAGCGTGGGAGAGAGAGAGATTGCAAGCAGTGGGGAGGAGCAGAGAGAGGGACAAGCGGACTCTGCACTAATCACAGAACCTGATGCTGGGCTTGATCCCAGAACCCTGAGATCATGACCTGGGCCGAAACCAAGAGTTGGCTGTTTAACAGACTGAGCCACCCGGGTGCCCCCAAACAGCATTTTAAATGTAAACTTTTTGTTTATTTTGCTGTTGTAATTTGCTGAGATAGAATCCTATCTACTCATTCATTTGATTCACTCTATTCTTCTCCATTCATCATTCAGTCACTGAATATTTTTGTTCCCACTATGTACCAAGCACTGTAACAGGAGCAGAGACACAATGGTGAATGAGGCAGAAATGGTTCAGCCTTGGCAGGACGCACCATGAACTTCCCCAGGCCTTATTGTCAGGGAGCATAAAAGACATTGTCTTCGTTCGTATCATCCAGAAGAAAAAGGTGCTTTCACTGTGGCTCAATTCCGTGTGTTCCACTAGAATGGCAGTAGCTTCTGACATAAGGTTGTCACCTTTTTCAAGCAGTCTCTTGCTTCTTTTGCCTCACCTTCACCCCCGGAGCAGTTTCTGGAGCTGTCCCAAGAGGTGCGGCACTATGGGTACTTGCAGCTGGATCCGTGTACCTGTGACTACCCGGAACCAGGCTGTGGGGCCATCCTCTCTGTTGGCAATAATGAGATCAGCTGCTGCATAACCCTGCCTGACAACCAGACCCAGGAAATCATTTTCCAGATGAACAGAGTGAAGTGCTGGCAGGTCACTTTCCTTGTAAGTATTTTGGCACTTTGCCTTACCCGTGACTTCAAGTCTCTACCCGTGGTTTAAAAATTCTATTGTCTTTGGATGACAAAATTGGCAGTAGGGAGATGGGCCTGCCATTTGCATCACTACCTTGAGTGGACCGGCATCTAAGCCACATGAAGCATCACCTAATGGTAAAACCCGTCTATTGCCTGGTACAAGTGGCCCATCCAGAGCAGTAGAGATACCCATCTTTGCAACAACAGGCTTCTTTACTGCTTGGCGGCTGGTTATAGTAATACAGCATAGAGAAACAGTGGCTACTGTTTATGGAGTACTTAATACAGACTCAGGACTGACAAGATTTCTACCCTTGGAAACGGGATGCTGACCAATAGAGCTCTTCGTAAGGATCCCCAGCATCATACTTACATTGACATCTCCTCCCAGAGGAAACGCTATGATCAGATGTATTGAGTGCCTACTTTGTATCAGATGCTGTTCTGGGTGCTGCCACATCTATTATTTAATTAAATTCTTGCAATAACTCAGTGAACTAAGTGGGATTATCCCCTTTACACAGGAAACTGGGGTTAACTCGGAGAGGACAAACACTATTAGAACAACCGTGACCCCCAGTTGCTAAATCCTTGGAATCCACAGGGATTTTTTGGCTGGCACAATACTAGGCCTCTCTGTGGCATTTGGTGTTGTCAACCGTTACTTGCTTCTCAGAATTCCCTCTCCTTCCTCCCCTGTTTTGTGGGCTGCCTCTTCCTCTGAGCACTTCTGAAGTGCTCGTTTCCCCTGGGGTTCCATTTCCATCTTTCCTCTACGTATTCTCTGAAATCAGTTGCCTACCTCCCTGTCGGAAAGGTCCTAATGCCTTCTGGACATCTACACCAGGTGTCTCATGGACATCCCAGACGCAGCCTTTTCCCACACCAGACTCACCCTGGCCCTCTCCTGCCCATCCTAGAGATCCTCCACCCTGTGTTCCCCATTTTGGTAAACACGACTTCTACCACCTGCTAAAGGCCAAACCAGCAATCTTGACATTTTCAGCATATGATTTCAGTCTTTTAAACTTACAGGACCTTGTTTTATGGCCCCAAATCTGGTCTGTCTTGGTAAATGTTCCATGTACACTTGAAAAGAATGTGTATTCTGCCACTATTGGGTGAAGTATTCTATAAGTTATCAATTAGGTCAAGCAGTTGACAGCGTTCAGACCTCCGGTATCCTTGTACATTTTCTACTTGTTCTACCAGTTACTGAGAGAAGAGGAATGTTAAAACCTTCAAACCTAATTGTGGATCTGTCTATTTCTTTGAGGTTTATGAGTTTTTCCCCTCTTTTCCTGCCTTCTTTTGATTAAGTATTTTATGATTCCATGTATTTACACCATTTTTTTTAGTTGTACCTTTTCATTTATTTATGGTTACTTAATTTTTTTTTAAAGATTTTTTTATTTATTCATTTCTTTAGAGTTCTTGAACTTATTACATTCCAGTTCTAATTATTATACTACTTCACAAAAAGTGTAATAACACTGTACTTCTATTTCCCCTTTTGTGATATTTATTGCCATATTTCTACATATATAAGCCTCATGCTGCATTATAATTATTTTTGCTTTTAAACAGTTGATTCTTTTAAACTTTTAATTTTGATGTAACTGTAGGTTCGCATGCAGTTGTAAGAAATGGTACAGAGATCCTGTGTACTCTTCACCCACATTTCTCAAATTTTTAGTTACATTTTGCAGAACTATAGCACAACATCAACACCAGAATATTGGCATTGATAACAAGCAGGAGTCCAAACATTTTCATCATCCCAAGAACCCCTCATGTTGGCCTTTTATAGCTCTACCCACTTTCTCTCGCCACACCTCTCTTTAGCCCCAAGGAACCACTAATCTGTTTGTTATTTTTATAATTATGTCATTTCAGGAGTGCTATGTAAAACTTTTGGAAGTGACGGATATATTCATTACTTTGATTGTGGTGATGGTTTCATGAATGTATGCTTATGTCCAAACTCATCAGATTGTGTACATTAAATATGTGCAGGGTTATTTTTTTTACGTCAATTACACCTCAATAAAACTGTTAAAAAAAATAAAAACAGAAACAGGTTTTAGAAACCTAAAACAAGGTTATGTACTGATGAGTTGATGAAAATGTTGTGACCGGAGGTTTGCAGGAACCTAACCCTGCATTTCCCCCGGAGCAATGACTCAGTGTTCAGTAATGCAGTGTTTACAGCGACTTTATAGAACAGGACTACTGTGAATAATAAGAATTGACTGAATTTAGGAGGCAAAAATGTAAACAAAAACAAGGAATTGATTACCTTACAAGTGTTCTCTAAATGGAATCATATGTAGCCTTAAGGATTGGCTTTTTTTACTCAGCATAATTCTTTAGTAATTCATTCAGATTGTTGTATATATCAGTAGTTTGGTTCTTTTTATTGCTGAGCAGTATTCCGTGGTATGAAATGGACAAGATTTATTTAACCACCATTTTGAGAGTACTTCTTATATCCTAGTTACTAGTCTTTTGTTGGATATGTGGTTTGCAAATATTTTCTCTCACTCTCCAGTTTTTCATCCTCTCAACAGGGTCTTGTACAGAGCAAAAGTTTTTAATTTTGATGAATTCTAATTCATCAGTTTTTCCTTTTATAGATTGTGCTTTTAGTGTTGAGTCTAAGAACTCTGCCAAACCCTGGTTCCTGAAGATTTTTTTCTTAGAGTTTTTTCCTAAAGGTTTTACAGTTATAGGTCATACATTTAAGTCCATGACTCATTCTGAGTTAGTTTTCATCTAGGGTGTGAAACTCAGAACAACATTCCCTTTTTTGCCTGTGGAAGTCCACTGGCTCAGCACCATTTGTTGCAAAGCTGTCCTTTAAGTGACTTGCTTTTGCACCTTTGTCAGATATCAGCTGGGCATATTTGTGTGGATTTATTTCTGGATTCTCTAGTCTGTTCCATGATGCATATGTCTATCCCTCCCCCAGTACTACATACACAGTCATTCCCTTCCTTTGTATCAGCTTTATCAAGATATACCTCACATACCATACAATTCACTTATATAAAGTGTACAATTCAGGGGTGTTTAATGCATTCCCAGAGTTTTGCATCCATCACCACAATCAGTTTTAGAATACTTTCATCACCTCAGAAAGAAGTCCCATACCCCTTAGCTTACGTCTGTATCCCCCCATTCCTACCAGCCCTAAGAAGCCACCAATCTGCTTGTCTTTATAGATTCACCCATTCTGAACATTTCATGATTAATGGAATCATATATGATCTTTGTGACTGGCTTCCTTTACTTGGCATAATGTTTCCAAGGTCCACCCTTCCCATAGCATGTGTAAACACTTTATCTTTTTCATGATCAAATACTATTTTGTTGTATGGATATACTATATTGTGTTTATTCATTCATTCATGGACACTTGGGTTGTTTCTCTCTTTTGGTTGTTATGAGTTATGCTGCTATGAACATTTGTGTACAGGTTTTTGTGTGGACATAGGTTTTCATTTCTCTTGGGTATATGATTAGGAGTGGAATTGCTGGTACTGTGATGGTATTCCATATTGCATTTTGTGAGGAACTTCTAGACTATTTTCCAAATAGTCTGCTCGATGTTATGTACCCACCAGTGGTGTATGAGGGTTCTCCCCATACATGGACAGATCGTTATTCAGCCAAACATCTGAAAAGAGCTCTCTGGAGCTCTTACTCTGTATAAAGTCCTTGTCTGTGATCCTCTGCCCCACAAATTGCATCCAGATTAGGTGCCCATCCTACCTCCTTCCATAGACCTGGGTTTGCTTCCCTTACAATACTTATAATACTTATCATACCAAATTGTGGTAACTTACTTTCATAGCCCCTCATAGACTGACAGCTTCCTGGGGATAGTGACTATATCACTTGTTTTAATATTTTGCCCAGCAGTTAATAGCTGCTTAAATTTCTATCGGAGATCAAATACTATCTTTTCTCTGTAGGGAACTCTGCTGGATATGGATGGACCCCAGCGAACTCTCAACCAGAACTTAGAGCTGAGATTTCAGTTTAGTGAAGAGAGTGGCTGGCAGTGGTTTGTTATTTACACCAAGCAGGTGAGTTCTTGGGACATCACATGAGAACCAGCGCTGAAATGCTCTCTTGCTTGCTGGGGTGAACAAAGCACATTACCCTAACCCAACCAGAGCAGAGTACTAGAATATGCTATACACTCCCCTTTTTGGCTTATAATGCTGGTTTTTTTGGTTTATTTTTGTTTTGTTTTATCTTACTAGTCACCGCAGCCTTCATGTCAATTAGAAATGAATTTAGTTACTAAATAACAGAAGACTCAACTAATAGTGGCTTAGACAAAGCGTTGGTGAACTTTCTCTCAAAGGGCCAGATGGTAAATAATTTAGTTTGGGGGTCCATCTGGTCTCTGTTACAACTACCCAACTCTGTTGTAGCACAAAAGTAGCCACAGACAATATGTGAACAAATGGGTATAGTTGTTTGCCAATAAAAATTTATAAAAACAAGTGAGGGGCTAGATTTATTGACCTCTGACTTAGTCAATACAGATTTTTATCTCATTTAACAAGAATACTAGAAGTAGACGATTGACATCCCTTTTATCTGGAAGGCAAAAGCTTTGCCTCAGAAGCCCTAGTAGTTTATATCTCATTGACCAGAACTGAGTCTCATGACCACTCCTAGCTGCAAGAGAATCTGAGAATCAAGTATTTCGCCAAAAGAACAAAATTCATGATCAGCTTAGAGTAAGCATGAGCTGGGCACTTTGTCATCAGACGAAATCAAGGTTCTATTAGGAGAGGAGAGACTGTTGGACAACAAACTATCCAGATCTTCCATGGCTTTGTAATTAAAGTTGGAGTAAATTTTTTTTTAAAAAAGACTTAATTTTCTAAACACCAAATTCAGCTGAAAAATTCTATGAAATAAGCTATTTCAAAGTAGAATCAAAACTACAGATGTTCTAAAACAAAACCAAAATATCAAAGTAATCTTTGCGTCAGCATTTCATTGAACTTAAGTCGCTGGCGATCACACTAAGTTCCATGGAGCATTGTGGTTTCAGGTAACCAAAGCTCCCTGAGACACTCTACTTTTGGTATAGTTGTGATCACAAGATAATAGATACCAAGGTCCTCTGAAAAACATGAAGAGCTAAACCAAATTCTACGGTAAAGAAATGGGCCGTCAGGTTCACCTTGAATATGAAACATTCTTAGGGAAATGGTAGGATGGTTTGTAGTCACTTGGAGAAATGCAGATAGATCTTGGCAGTGAAACCACTTACCCTTGCCCAGAATGCTAAATGCAGTAGTTAAATTTTATTATGGTCTTTTAATCTAGTCTGTACCAAATGAGTTTAAGCCGCTATAGAGAGTGCAATAAACATTCTTTTAAAGGATTCTTAGTAAACTCTTATTTCCTCTGGAGTGTGGGTTTATTGATACGTACCCAAGAGCTACTCCTGCAAAAGGAAGAAATGTGGCTTGTGTGCCTTGCAAATACAAATGAGGGCTTGGACCCCAATATCTTCTAGACCCTTTAAACAATAGCTCACTGCCTTTATAGTGAATAAACCTTACCTGGTTTATAGCCAAGTCTTAACCTGCATATTTGTGCACATCGTATGGATTATGGAATCGGTCCACATCTTATGGGGCATTATAAAACACCCTTCCAAGCTCTGTCACCTCGGGTTATGTTGTTTAACTATTTCATATCCTAGTTTTGTGTAGGTTTTATATATGCCCAGATAAAAGGGTTAGTTTTTAGCTAAACCAGGAAATCAGGATTTGTTTTTGTTTGTAAATCCCACGTCTTCTACTCTTTTCCTTATTGGTAGCAGTGCCTTTCTTCTCTTCTACCTCCTTTCTCTCCCATTAAATGAAATAAATTCCGGTCAGTCTCTACAGTCCTGCAGGTCTCTGAGATGCTACCCATATGTAGCCATTCTCCCTCTAATTCTGCTTTCTATGTCCTATCCTCCAAGAGCCTCTGCTTTGCCACCATCCCAACCTGGGTTTTCTCTCTCTTTCCTTTTTCCTCCTCTCCATCACTCCCCTCCCTTCAGTGCAGTGACCATCCTTGAGCATAAATTTATACTAAGAGCTATAACCTCAAGCTTTGAGCTTTAGTTGTCTCAAACTGTAGTAGGGCCCAAAGAAAAAAGTGCAAGCCAAGCATTGAGAGCAGGACAAAGGAGAAAGAGGGTTAGTGGGAAAGGAGCAAGTGGAGACATTGCGGGGAAACTTAAATTGGCACGTGGAGTGAAGATCCTGGAAAAAGGAAACCCCAGCTTTTGCGTAGCAAGATGTCTAACGTGGGTCTTGGCACCAACGATGAGCCAACAAAAAGCCACAGGTGATAAGGGGAGCAACCATCAGTCTTAAAAGTGAGTGATTAAAGATGCCAGAAAAATAAGAAAGTGATGAAAAACAACGTTTGGGGATTCAGTAAAAGCCATAAGGTGTTAATATACCCTTTCAAACAGGTTTATGCCTAGTAATAGGTCTGTCAATAATCATGTATACAATTAAATGTAAGATCGACCATTGTCAGTTGATTTGATTACAATAATAAGCACTTTTATTATTTGTTGCTTGTAAAACACGAGCTGCTTACAAAGTAATAGGAAGAAATAGGAGGGGACGTTTTAAGAGGGAAAATGATTAGTAAATGTCATGATTCTCTATCTTTTTAAAAATTTACCCTAAGTACATCCATGTAATTAAGAAAATATATGGCTACTTGCTAATTGCATCTTATGCAAATTTATGGAAATTAAAGATGAAATCTAAAGTCTTAAAAGCGTGCTATTGGAGAGCAGAGTTCAAAATCTGCTTTGTGGTGTGAGGAGGGAAGGAAGACAAGATCTCTTCAGTTGAGAGACTTTATTTCTGGATTCTTCAGGCCTTTTTGTTGAGTAGCTGCTTGAAAAAGATGATCTCAGAAAAGATGCTAAAGCTAGCTGCAGAGAATCCAGAAATGGTAAGTGCTCTGTTCTGTGTATCTTTTTCACTTTAAGTTCCCACCATCAGCCAACATTAACCTACAGGGATGAATTCTGGTCCTCCGGTGAAGAACCCAACCTCCCAGAAATGAGCTCCTCTGCCTTCTCTAACGAGCTGTCTTTAGAATTCAAGCCATTTTTCCAAGAGAGGTGTCCTTACATTGCTCTGTATCCTTGTATCTCTGCTTTCCCCCAAATGGAAGATGCCAGATTTTCCATAAAAACTACATCATAAAGTCAGGATCCTGAGAGGTCTTTAACACAGCAGCGATGAACTTAAATAAGCTCTACAGTTTTGTCTCTAGAAAGAACTCACAGTTTCTTGAAGCTTCGACTGTGCCAAATTAAAATGCCATTAGCAGTCGAAAGAAGCCATAGAGCAAAAGAAGCTCTCAAGGCTATAAATTTTTGTCAGTGTAAAATTAAACTTTGCCTTTCTAGTCTGTGTCTCTTCAATAAAGCCTAGTAACTCATTGAAAGGGTTGGTGGAAGGCTGTAAAAAGAGACACTGAGATTTTAAACTTTTTGACTTGCCTTGTCACCATCATGATACAAGCATATCCCCAATAAGATAGTACAATTAGAGTTTTAAAGATGATTACAAATACTAATGCTTGGTTGACATGTATAAACATATTTTTTTCTTCTTCTTTTTTTTTTTTTTTGCAGAATGTTATACTGATCTTTAAAAATGCAAAAGAAAACATTTGGAAATGTTCCCTAATGTTTTCATTTAAATTGAGTCCTTTATAAGAGGATGGATGACATCTTTCGTTGAACATTGCTCTTTACTAGACTTTACAGCTTTTTTTCTGAGAAAATAGTTGCATTTTATCCTTATTTCTCTTTCTTCTAGAACTGAAAATATTTTCCTAGGGAAAATAAAATTTACTGCCCCTTGGGTATTCAGACAATTCAAAATGTACTATAGAGTAGGAAATCAAAGCAATGAAAGAATCATGGATGCTTGTTTTTAAAGAGTCATAAAATCCAACCTCTTAGGCAGGATGGACCCCCTTAGTCTCCAATTATTATATATATGTAAAAAGAAGAAAAAGTAGTTAACTGAAGTAGCCCCATTAAAAGGGAGAAGTACTCTCAAATGTGGCTGAATAAAATGTAAACTACTTGATGCAGGAAATACCTGTACAATGAATAGCTAAAGAGTTTGCTAAATAATAGAAGGTAGTGACCTATTTAAAGCTTAAAAAAACAACAGCCACACTAACTACATTCTTTAGATTTGCACACAAATTGAAACCTATCCTTTCCCGTGGCTGATAGTGAAATCAGCATATTAGTCAATACTGCATTGCTTAATCCAAATAGTCAACAAGTTTTATTTCCACAAGCTCCTTTTTTTACTTTCTTATTTTGGTTCTTGGAAAGTTAAGACCCTTCCCCTGGAAAATTGTTTTTTGGGGGGCACCTGGGTGGCTCAGTCGGTTAAGTGTCTAATTCTTGATTTCAGCTCAGGTCATGATCTTGGGGTCCTAGGATCGAGCCCCGTGTTGCATCAGGCTCTGCACTCGGCAGGGGGAGGGGCTGCATCTGCTTGAGATTCTCTCCCTCTGACCCTCCCCTCTCTCACTCTTGCTTTCTCTCTCTAAAATAAATAATAAAACATTTAAAATTTTTTTAAAAAAAGAAAACTGGGTTTTCAAGGGGATGTTGTAGGGATAGTCCACATTTCAACCTGAAATTTCATCTACAAACCCCTGGGTAGAATGAGACCCTGGAAAGTGAAAAGAGCAAACAGATCAGCTCTTTGAATGTATACTGAGTTCTGGGCTTCCTCACGAAGCACAGTTGACCAGAACAAGTCATTTTGTGGAACTTAAAGTAGCCATATAAATGTATGACTGTGACGTTCACTCATTTTCTAGGTAAACACATAAAGTCTGAACTACACGTATCATTTATAAAAGGCTTGTGTGGACTAGGATCCAGAGGTCTCTATTTTGCAAGGCAGAATAGATTCCAAGATTTTGATAATCATGAAGAGTCTGGAGAGGGGGAGAAAAATTAAGGAAACTGTAACCAAATGAACCCCATAAATAAAGCAGAGAGTCCCTAGAAGCAGATTAAATAGTACTTTTTTATCCTAGTAAGAAGAAAGGCTTTGAAAGAAGAAATTTAGTGCTAACTTTAGTTATAGCTAATTAACTTAGCTATAGGCAATGCTTTCAAAGTTGAGACTCGAATCATTTCTGAAGAGATCATTAAAATTTGAAGTCAAATAAATGCACTAAAAAAAGGTAAACACACAACAAGATCATGTTACATTCTTTTTTTTAAGATTTATTTATTTGAGAGAGAGAGAGAAAGAGAGCATGGGCAGGGGGAGGGGGAGAGGGAAAGAGAAAGGGAGAAGCAGACTCTCCACTGAGTAGGGAGCCTGACACAGGGCTCGATCCCAGGTCCCTGGGATCACGACCTGAGCCAAAGGCAGACACTTAACCACTGAGCCACCCAGGGACCCTTCATGTCATATTCTTAAAGGCAGTATTAACTGCAAACCAGAAGGGGAAAAAAATTGTAACATTCTTTTTAGAGCTATGCTCCTATGCAAAAACCTTTAATAAATGAATTTTGTTATTATTTGCTCCTTTTAACTAGAACACAATTTTAAGAATTATGTGAAAATGAAGTGTATTTGTTAGTAGTAGGTTTGGCTATATATAATGAAGAACAAAACAAGACAGACGAAGTGTCCTAGGTAAAATAAAAGTTTGTGTCTTTCTCATTTAAAAGAAACCCAAAGGTAGGCAGTCTAGGGCTGGGACAGTGGCTCCATGATGTCACCAGAGACCTTTCTGCTCTGTCATCTTTAGTGTGTGACTTTTACCTCGTGTTGCAGGTGGCTGCTGGAGCTCTAGTCATTACATCCACATTCTAGACAGCAGGTATGAATGGAAGTGTGGATGGCTCATCTCTTTTCTTTAAGGAAGGGTCTCTGAAGTCCCACAGAATTTCGGCTTATGGCTCATTGGCCAAGAGTTAGTCACACCACAGGCCTACACCTACCTGCAAGGGAGTCTGGTAAATGCAGTCTCTTTACAGGGTATGTTGTCTCTCCAAATAAATTTGGGTGGTATTACTAAGAAAGAAGGGCAAATGGATAATAGAGTAGGCTACCAGCAATCTCTGCTATTGAAAGAAATCTAAAAGACATCAAGAAAAGAAAGCAGATATATTTTATGCAATAGATGTGTTCCTAATGAGTTTCTGAAAGTGTATCATTATTATTATCTTGTATATTGAACCATATCTGAATACATGAGAGGTATCAGGAATAAGATGGTGACTAATTTTCTGAATTGAAAAACAGTTTATATTTTTAATAATCCGTACCTAGTTTGTTTTATTAGTTTGTGTATTTTTTTCCTTAGGTTTACTAAAACGTGGTTCTGAATCTCTAAATTGGTTTTCTGGAAAATAGCAAAGAACCAAATGGCTTTCTGATTCTGGCTTGCCTCCTACCTCTCACCACCAGTGCCAACTACCATCACCCTATGTATTTTCCTCTCCACTCCTCTTTCATTCTGGGCAAGATCAGACAATGTAAAAGGCCACCGGGCTCAGAGATCATGCTTTGAAGTGTGTTTCTGTCACATGTGAGGAGGAGAAACAGCAAGGGCAATATTATCTGATGTCCCAGGAATGTCAGCCTTCGAATAGTTGGCGCTGTCTAGAAAACAGAAAAAGTACAGATATGTTACAGCCCACTTGAGAATGGTCTGAGCATAGCAGGTGGACAGAATTTTAGAGAGCCAGGGGGAAATTACCATGTGAGCGTAAGTAGACTATTAAAAGAAACTACCTGTTGGGGTGCCTGGGTGGCTCAGTCGGTTAAGCGACTGCCTTCGGCTCAGGTCATGATCCTGGGGTCCTGGGATCGAGCCCCACATCGGGCTCCCTGCTCGGCAGGAGGCCTGCTTCCCCCTCTCCCGCTCCCACTGCTTGTGTTCCTGCTCTCACTGTGTGTGTCTCTCGCTCTGTCAATTAAATAAATAGAATCTTTAAAAAAAAAAATAAAGAAACTACCTGTTGATGAAGAGTGTATAGGAATACTGCATTATGAAAAAAGGGTTTGCTCTCTTCTCACCCCCCCCAACTTTATTCCCCCTGGTATATAAAATATTTAAAGCCCTTATTCGAGTAAGTCAAGGAAAGAGATATCAGAAATTGCTTAACATTCATAGTAGGTTCTGTTTTATTTATTTCAACATAGGGAGGGAAGGAAGATGAAGGAGAATAGGAGAGAAAGATTGAGCTATTTTCGCCAACTTCTGTATTTCATTGCACAAGGCTACTTACAAGCTATAATGTAATATTGTAAGCAATAACAATAATACTATAGCAAAACACATAAGACAACAGAGCATTAATTTCTCATTTACCAAGACTTAATAACTGATTTTTAAAAAAAAAGATTTTATTTATTTATTTGAGAGAGAGAACGCGTGAGTGGGGAATGGGGCAGAGGGGGAGGGAGAGGGAAAGGGAGAGAATCTCAAGCAGCCTCTGCACTAAGCATGGAGCTGATGTGGGGCTCCATCTCAGGACCCTCAGATCATGACCTGAGCCGAAACCAAGAGTCAGACGCTTAACAGACTGAGCCACCCAGGCATCCCGAATAACTGATTTTTTTTTTAATTATTAAGCTAGGCTTCAAATATATGAACATTTCTATTAATACCAACCTAAAGGAAGTCCTTTGCATCCTTCCAAGCAATCTATTTTATAACAATATTAACTGTAGTTAAAAGACAAGGCTCTTTTGTGGTGTCATGTTATTTATCCCACTTATTTTGAAACGTTCCTCATATTCTCATGAAGAATAAGCAGTAATAAACAATTTAATTAATCCACTCCACCTTCTTGCATTTACAAATGCCTCTATTTACAAATGCCTTTATTTACAATGCAGTGGTTGGATCCAGAGTCAAGGAGCTTATTTGTTGGAGAAGAAAGGCAATAGAGTGATACGTTGAGACCCGCGCATAACACTAGTTGCTTAAGAAGAGTGTTCTTTTCCTCCAAGAAGAGTCTAAGAGCTCTTTCTCCTGAGCCCTGCCTGGGTCATGTTTCTTGGCTGTGCCAGACAACCGCTAGCCTTTCCCGGTTCCCTGTCCACTCTCCCCCAACCCGCTCTGCGTGCCGGAGACTCCTCTCCGTGTGCTGCCATCTTGCTCTCGGGCCTCCCACTGGGGTCACCCATGGGAAAACCCAGCGAGAATGAATGGAGCGTGGAAGAAAAGTGAGATTGTGCGATTTATTTATCTGATTCTGTCCCTGCTGGCACAGCCTTCTGCAGAAGGCCAAGCTCCTGGAGGAGGCCTCTCCTCCCCACTGCTCTTGTTCCAGTACCAGCTGCTACCCATCCCCCTTCAGGCCCAGGAGCCCGTCATGGCTAGCCCCTGGGGGTTCCAGCATCCCTTCACTGACTCACTTGAATCCTGGCCGCACCTCCATTAAATAGCTCCTTTTTTAAAACGCTCCTCAGGAGTGTGTCATCTGTTTTCTGCCGGGACCCTGACTGTTATATTAAGCCTACCTTATGTACGTGAGGTATATTCAAGTGTCTTGAGCTTCCGCTTGATCTTCACTTGATTCATGGTGCCTTTTGATTAATCCAAGCCCTATTTGGCTTTGATTCAGTGTATGCACTGGGGCTCTGTGGATTATTTCAGTATTTAGGAGTTCATTTCGTGTAAAGTCCTTTTAGAAGCTCTGTTAAATCACAAAATCTATAGGCAACCACCAGTGTTAAACATGAAGCTTCACTTCACCTTTAGGGGCCCTATTTCTGCAACGTTCCTACATTTGCAAATGAAGGGGGGGAAGGTGCGGATGGGAGGCAGGTGTGCCTGCTGACTGGCAGCCTTTGAGACCATTAAGAGGATTATTGTGGAAGGGGAAATGTGCTAGTTAAATAGATTATTTGTGTGCTCGCTTCCCCAAGCTGTGCTGACTGACATTTTACTAATCTATTTAGCAGATTGAAGTTCCAGAACAAGGCAAAAGTAAAAAATACCACATTCAACAAAGCCAGGTCTGTGAGTAAAATTATGTAATTGATACATTATAATTTTGATAAATCTGTCCTTTTCCCCCTTTAAGTAACCAAAGTCATTCTACTTTTAAGAATAAGCCAGAATTTTCGTTCTCAGAAGCTCCTCCATGTAGGATTGGGCCAATTGGAGGACCATCACAGAAGTATAGTACTTTTATTGTAATACCCGGTGGGGCCAGGAGACATGGTCTCCTGAACTTTTACATAGAAAATTTCCAAGAAGAACATAAAATTCTTTAGTGATTTTCTTCTACACTCCATACATTTTTTTTTTTTAATCCTCTTTCTGGTTTACATTTTCGTTTCATGAATTCTCTGCAGTGGACTCCGTAGAAAACAACCTTTAAGTTTATTAAATACTGTTTGGAGCATTTAGGTTTGTTGGGCAGATAACAATAACAGTAAATATCATTCTAGAAAGCATTAGTAGGCACTTATTGCTAGGCACTGTTGTAAGCACTTTTATGTGGATTACCACATCATTCCCACCAAAGTCCTATAACTCACTGGAGGAAACAGGCACAGAGAGGTTAGGTGACTTGCCCAGGTTGCACAGTAATCAATGGGGGAAGAAGCAGACAGTCTGACTCCAAAGCTGTGCCCTTAACTAACTCTTCCTTTCTACGTTCAAATCCTAGTGTATGTAAGTGAAATAAAGATGACCTCCAAGTAGCATTTGAATGGAATTTTTTATCGGTCCACTCCTATTACACAGTCTGCTGTGTATATAAAGGTACAAAGTATCTAAGGACAGTACTTAGGAAAATAGAAGGGCCTCTCTTGAGTGACTAAGCTCAATAAAAAAAATGTAAAAACAGACTAAATGCAAAGCTTACTCTCTTTCATAATACCAGCATTTCTGGCTGCTTAGATCAGAGACAGGAGATAAGAACTCCACCACGGACTGGTGATGTGTCCTCAGGCAGATCAAAAAACTAAATGTTTAAGGGACTCTTGAGGTGCTTATTAAAATGTAAATTCCTGGGCCCCACTCCAAAAGATTGATTTAGCAGATCAGCATTTATAGCAAGCACCCCAATGGGGAACACTGCACCAAGCTTCAATTTCTTTACCTGTAAAGTGTAGGTAGTCATCACTCCATCACTCAAATTCATCAGCAGCATAGTGATTAGCACAAAGGTTCTCAACCTTGGCTGCACGTTGGAATCACCTGAGGAGCTCTAAAAACAAATCATGGCTGGGCCCCACCCTCAAAGACTCTGACTTAATTTGTCTAGGGGCCTGGCAACAGAATTTTTTAAAAAAGCTCCTCAGGTGGTCTAATGTACAGCCAGGATTGGAACTATCATCCTATAACAGTGGTTCTCAAAGTGTCATCCCTAGAGCAACACCATCAGCATACCTGGGAAACTTATTAGAAATTTACGTTCTCAGGTCCCAGACCTACTTCATCAGAAACCCAAGGGATGGGGGCTAGTAATCTGTGTTTAGCAAGCCCTCCAGATGAGCCTGATGCATGTCCAATTCTGAGAGCCACTGTTCTGGAACAATAGATAACACATAGCACAACTATGATCAACATTGAAACTAATTCAGATGGCCTCCCAGATGAGCAGCAATGCTAAAATAGGCCAATCTCCCTCATGCTCTAAGCAGGGCCAGCATGTCAGAAGTTGTCCAAGTATATTGAATTCCAACTTACTTAGCAAACCTTTATATAGAGCTTATCCTGAGCCAAGCACTGTTATAATTGCATTCCACATATAACTCATTTAATCCCCATAACAACCTAGCTATTATTATCATCCTTGGTTTATAGCCAAAGGAACTGAAAACACAGAAAGGTTAAGTAACTTGCTCAAGTTCACACAGCAAGTAAATGACAGAGCCCCTATTGGAACTGAAGCAGTATTTATTTGTTGTTTAACCAATAAAGTTTGTTCCTTTAACCACTTTGCCATGGGGCCTCTCTATCAAGACAAATACCTCATAGAAAAAAATTTTTTAACTTATCTGCCTATTGAGGCACATTTATTTCCCCAGGGACAAAGCCATGGCCTTTGAGATTTCATAAATACTGAAGGCCAAGTATTCACTTACTGAGGGTTTATAGCAACCATAACCTCTTAAAATGTTTTAAAATATAAAACTTGTTAAAAATTTGTATTTGTGTGGGGTGTGCACTAAAGATTTAGTGTAGAGTTAAAAATGGAAATTTGTATAACTTTAAGAGAGGCGGGGAAAAGATGAGAGGCAGCATCCAAACGTCACCTGGAGATATTCCAGTGCCTGGAAAGGCCCTCTGAACAGGTCTACCTCAGCATACCAGCAGGAGGCGCTCTCAGCCCTAACATAGACACCTACCCCAAAATAAAGCTTCTATGGGGGAAAAACACACTTGAAATAACCATCTTTTAAATAAATGTAACCTTTCTGTTGCCTTTTTAATATTTTAACATTCCCGACTTTGTAATTATTGTTGTTTTAGAAATTATTTCCTCTCACATACATTTCTGACCTCTCTGTTTATTTCACAATAGAAAGACTCTTCTCGTTTTCTACCAAGAAAAAGCAAGATTGAGATGGCCAAAGTTGACTGTGTTTTGGGGACCATAAAGGAAGAAGACCTTTGATGAGAAACTCTCACGTTTTTAAATGTCCTCTAGGGCTGTCTCAACAGTGAAAGAGCTAGGGGATTGAAAGTGGCCTGCCCACCAGCAGTGGAAGAAATGTGACCCCTTCCCATTTTCTCTTGACATTAAGATGGACCGTATTCACCAAGGGTACTTCAGAACTCTGTGAATCTTAAGATTAAAAAGAAATATGAACCAAAGTTATACAGTTTGCTTTTAATGACTCATAAATGACAAGTGGCAAATCCAAATCAATTAGTATGAAGTTTGTTCTTTTTTTTTTTTTTTCACTCTAATAGATGTTTATCTGGCTTGATGAAGTCTTCTATATATTCTAATACTACATGAATGAAAGGCTCAGCCTAAAACACTATAAATGTACTTGGGGTCAAGTTCTGAAGACACGACTCATCACCTGCGGATAACGTGGCTCTAAGAAGTGGAATCATTGAAAAAGAAATCTGGACTTCACTGATCCATCCACAGCACCAAACAAGGAGGTGATGAAATACTAATTTCTTTCCTTACGTCATTCTGAGCCTACCAATAGGGATGGACTCAAAGTAACAGGCTGCCCCGTTCTCTGTTTCTCCACTGATGTAACTGTATTTTATCTTTAGAATGTGAAATTCAATTCAATAATCACATGCTATTTTGAATATTTTTATTTTAGAAAGCAATGGGACCCTGCACTCAAAATCAGATACTATAGTAAGTCTCTTAGCTTTAAAACAATGGATATTTTTTTCACTAGATTTTTCCTTAATTTCAGTTTATCATGATAATAAATGTAATTATATATGGAATTAAGACTGCAATAAGGGAGAGGGACAGAGGAATCTATGTAATGTAATTAAAGTGCAATAGTCTAATGTTTTCTCACTGGATTGTGTAACTAATTATGTAATAAATATGAAATATATTCTAGTGAATATAAAATTTACTGATGAAAATTCTGAGAATGATCTTTCTGAAATAAAGAATCTATTAAAACCCTGTAATGTTTATAAAGGAATGCCTCCAGCCATAACTTCTAGTGCCATAAAGTTTTATATTTATATTTCAGGCAGTAGTAGGATGTTTTTGCAAGGGGAGGGGTATAGTAAACATCCCAAATCATCCATGGTGACGGTATTAATGGATTAGGATACATTTTCAGATTAAAATAGAAATTTATCTACTATTTTGCCAATTTAAGAATAGTCCATCGATTTATTTTTAATTGCAAACACCTGCACTGTGTAAGAGCCTATTGGAGACACTAGAGATGCAAACAGAACTTGCATTTGGGGGTGAGAAGGTGCATATACTAGATCGAACCATACCTGATTGCTGTTTTGTATGTCAAAAATAGTTGAATGTTGTCTGTTTCATATGTTTCAACTTGATACCTGAGAGCTAGTAATCCCAGACAACACGTGGTGGGTGTCCAATGTGTAGTGTGGACCTGTGTGTCAGAGGAAGTTGGGAGTGGTCAGGAAGGCCCACGGGGAAGAGAGACTCTGAAGAAGGAGTAGAGCCAAGTGTGGGGGAGCGATGGGGGCACACATGTGAAAGGATAAGATAGGCCCTAATAGGACAATGAGTGGGAAGTGATGAGCAAACCACTGTGTGATGGCAAAGTTTTAGGTTAGGGAGTAGTTAGGAGATAAAGCTGAGAGAGAAGAGGGACCAGTACCTATACATACATAAGTGGAGTGAATCTATAGACTAAAGCATATGCTGGTAATTTCCAAAGCCATGTCACAACACTTAGAAGTTACTTGAAGTTTTTTTTTTTTAAGATTTTATTTGTTTATTTGAGAGAGAGAGAGCACAAGAGGAGGGAGGGTCAGAGGGAGAAGCAGACTCCCTGCCGAGCAGGGAGCCGGATGTGGGACTCGATCCAGGGACTCCGAGATCATGACCTGAGCCGAAGGCAGACGCTTAACCGACTGAGCCACCCAGGCGCCCCACAGGTGCAGCATTCCTATAAAATGAGCAGAGCAGTTTTTCCCTTATTTGAAGATGGCAAAAACAAAAGGATTGTATTTAACGGTTTTTTTCCCCAGACATAGAGATTATCATCAATGTAAGGATACGAGAGGAAAGAAGTGGTGGAGCACTTTCCATAGTATATACCATGAAAAAGAAAGGAACTGGGATAGTGGAAGACAAAACTCAAAACTTACTTTGTAAAATGGCACATTCCTTAGCAGTTATGTGGGAGAAGAAAGAATGATTAGCCCCTTTGGAGATCATTGGGCCTACCTTTACGTAGAAGGAGTTGTGGGTTTGAGTTACTTCTGGATCAAAACACTTCATCATTGGGTAAAAAGTCTAAACTCTGACTGCCAGAGTGGCCTTCCGTGCTGCAGGCTCCGAGAGAGGCCAGAAGTGGACCCCCAACTGTCCTGGGGGTGATGACCTCACTCTTGAGTGGTGCTGCTGGGCAGGACATTTCCAGCAGCCTAGCCCCTCAGCACAGGACAAAACATGCGCCAGTGCATAAACTTTGTAAAGGCGGGCAGCTACTGAAACCCTTCAGGTAACTTCTAAGTGGTGCAACATGGCTTTGGAAATTACCAGCATATGCTGTAGTCTGTAGATTCGCTCCATTTATACCTATAAAACTGGTCCCCAATCCACCAGATTTTCTCCTGATGCATCTGCCATCACCAACATCACTTCTCCCCACTTCTACACATATGTATGTGTTTCTATTGCTGTTCATTCTTCTAAAATTACTGGCATAAGCACCCGGCTCACGGGCCAGCCCACGAGTGTGAAAAGTTCACAAAATAGAAGGAAAAAAGGCAGAGCTGATTCAGATGTGATTAGGCCCACAGGGTCTGAGCCCTTATGGGTCCTCTGGAGGGAATCACATGCAGGCTTTGTCTGAAGGGCTGATGTGCTCCCTAAAGCCAGGTCTTGGTCTAGGTCCATATGTGGTGAGCTTGTGGCTTGCATGCATCCCCATGTGGGTGGACCCTTGGGAAGCAAACTTTTTGCTACATATGTAAGTGAGAAATTAACCTTAAGTTTGCCCTCAAAGTGACTTTGAGAAGAGCTGAGTGATCCTAATATGTGGAAAATCAAACAGGTTCCAAGCCTCAGTGGGAAAATAATGGCCAAAGTGATCCTACAATACAAAACAAAAGAAAACTCAGCAACGGAGGCAACTCTCCTTCTCTGGGTGCTTTTTAGTCCTCCCCTTGCAGTGTGTGGACCAAGGCTCACCGGGAGGACTGAGGCCAGGGGCCCATGTAGACCCTGCACTGAGGGAGATGGAGTGCAAGGTACTTCTCTCCTTCATTAGGGTGGTCTCAATCCTGTCCTTGGGAATTCCAGAAAAATAGTCAGGAAAAAGTTAGACATATTTTGCTGGCTCTTATCACCCCAAAATAAAGCATGTTGAGTTAACCTAGAAAATGTATGGCTGGGGCACCTGGTTGGCTCAGTAGGTTGGGCAGCTGACTCTTTTTTTTTTTTTTTAAAGATTTTATTTATTTATTTATTGGGAGAAGCAGACTCCCTGCCGAGCAGGGAGCCCGATGTGGGACTCGATCCTGGGACTCCAGAATCATGACCTGAGCCGAAGGCAGTCGCTCAACCAACTGAGCCACCCAGGCGCCCTGGGCAGCTGACTCTTGATTTCAGCTCAGGTCACCATCTCAGGGTCCTGGGATCAAGTCCCTCATTCGGCTCCATGCTTAGTGGGGAGTCTGCTTCAGGATTCTCTTTCCCTCTGCCCCTCCCCCCTCTAAAATAAAGTCTTAAAAAAAAAAAAAAAGGAAGAAAGAAAATGTATACCTAACACCAATACTCCCTTAGAAGATGGCTTTTTAGGGACGCCTGGGTGGCTCAGTCAGTTAAGCGTTTGCCTTCGGCTCAGGTCATGATCCCAGGGTCCCAGGATCGAGTCCCGCATCAGGCTCCTTCCTCAGTGGGGAACATGCTTCTCCCTCCGCCTGCAGCTCCCTCTGCTTGTGCTCTCTCCCTCTCAAATAAATAAATAAAATCTTTAAAAAAAAAATGGCTTCTCAGCCTTAACATTGTACTCTCCCCCCCCCACTTTATTGACGTATAATTGTACTTTGCTTATACGTTACTTTATAATAGCTATTTGTTGTATTCTTAGGAGTCATGTGTTGAACAGTTTTCCAGATAAGAAAAATTAGATAGAGCTTTGGAAAAAGTCCATGACGGGCTTGGGTCTTTGCTCTAGCCCTGTAGCCAGTGTACTTTTCTGTAGGGCACAGTCTTTAGCTCACCAAATGGGCTTTGGTTGTATAACATCTTGGAAGAGGTTAGACACTCAGTTGATTTAAAGGCACTGACCCTGGTGGTTTTGCACTGCTCCTGCACTGAATGTGGTTTCTGTCCCGGAAATGTGGGAACACAGAGTTGGCTGTACTTCCTAATGGCTTTTCCATCTGTCCACATGAGCCCTTATTTGATGGGTTCTGCGGTGCAGCCGTTGTCTGGGGTGGAGGCGCCTGGAGCGGCAGGCTGAAGCTGGGAGTGTGAGCTGGCTTCTCTGTGCACATGCGTGCTCTTATTCGCACTGAAAACTAGTCCCCACAGAATGTCTGGGGAGGTCCCCCTCTTTGTATCGCATCTAGTGTGCAGAGGAAGAGGGGATGGAAATCTGCATCTGGGTCCCCATCAAGGGAAGTTAGAATTTGATTTTCTGCAAAATGCTAAGTAAAACAAGTGAAATGGCAGTTATGAAACATATTTGTGGCAAAGTCAACCACTTGGAGATGGGTTCTATTCAAATCTCAACTGTAGCGATTTTGCTTCACAATAGCTGGTGGAACATGATGCCCAGAGGCACCATGCCAGCAAGTGCACCTATTTATGTGCAAAGGGAAAGCAGTTTCATGCCCCAGGACTTGTATGGCACCGGGGTAAGGGAGAAAATAGGAAGACTGTATATCAGAGGGGTTTTTTTTTTTTTCCATGTATTGACTGAATACATATCACAGCAGTTAAATTGAAGATTTCTTACAGGCAAC